TCTGCGGGGGGCACAGGTAACCCACAGCAACCTCAGCCAGAAATCAGAATGAGTGTGGCAGCTGTGTGTGTGTGTGTGTGTGTGTGTGTGTGTGTGTGTGTGTGTGTGTGTGTGTGTGTGTGTGTGTGTGTGTGTGTGTGTGTGTGTGTGTGTGTGTGTGTGTGTGTGTGTGTGTGTGTGTGTGTGGTGTGTGTGTGTGTGTGTGTGTGTGTGTGTGTGTGTGTGTGTGTGTGTGTGTGTGTGTGTGTGTGTGTGTGTGTGTGTGTGTGTGTGTGTGTGTGTGTGTGTGTGTGTGCGCAATGCATGCATGAATTGTGTGTGCATGTCATTTTTTGAGGGTAGTCACTATACCTGTCTTGTAGCTTTCAGCAAAATGTTTTTATAACACCTGATGCCAGAGTAAATATGGCTAAATCACAGGTGATCCTATTCACAACAATATTTATGTGATTAACATACTGCTCATTTGTAAGTAGCAGTGATAAGTATTTTATATACTACTGTACTCCAATGGAAGTTGTCATGGAACAAATCCCTTCATGTTATTTGTGAACTCTTAGTAAACTCAGTCTAAGTGGATAGTAAAGTGTGCAAAATTGCAATTGTGAACATGAACAGCAAGACATTGGTTCATCGGCATTCTTTAGAAAGGACAACTAATTGTTCAGAGTCAAGCGTTCACTGTATGAATGGCACATCTGGTCTTGCAAGTTAAATACAGCAGGATCTCACTGAGGAGTGAGTGTGTGGCTGTTTCTAACCCTTGCATGTTTGTTAGGTAAAGGAAAGGCATGTCGATTTTAATTCATAGAGCACATTTTGCTCAAAGTTAACTTGATATGTGCTACATTCGACATAAACAAAAAAAAGAGAAATAAATGTATTAGAAAAAACATAAACAAAAACATTCGACACAGCCCCTCCACAGACTCAAACAGAAAGACACACAAATACAGTGAAAGAGAAAAGGCTGTGACACACCCTCGGTCATCAGGTAGTTTGTTCCAGAGATCAGCACCAAAATAAAAGTTTCACCATCTGCTTTTTATTCTGGGAACAGTTAAAAAAAGGTCTTATTATAGGTCTGATTGGATTGTTGTGAGTGAGCATGTCAGAAATAAACTTGTTGCCAATTAATGCATTCATGAAGTTAATGCTGGAGTGATACATGTTTGCGTGGCTTTGCATGTACACAGACTAGAGTGGGAAGCCATTAAAGAAATATGCTGATGTGTTGGGTGGGACAGCATAGAAGATCAACAGAAATGGACTGATCTTAAGTCACCATTTAGCTTCATTCAATTTCAGAACACCTCATCCTGAACAAACCCTCTCTTTGTTGATGTCTCACCTTCTCTCTCTGTTTCCTGAGCTGATACTCATGTGACCACAAGGCTCATGGACACACACATCATTCCTGTCCACCACACACTCACCTATTTACTCCTGTTTTTCTGTATCAATGTCAGCCCCCCCTTGTTTCTTTTATTTTGCCGTAAATTCCCTAAGACCCCGACAGCAGAACAAGGTCTCAAGAACTTATAGGTTAGCCAGACGGGCAATAAGTAAATGAAAGCTGCCTGAAATGAGGTTCTACCTCCAAAAGGGCTGACTGGTTATGAGAGGATAAAAGAATCCTCTTATGTCGGTAAACTCATTACGCCGCCGCTGCCAAGCCAAGCTAGCCCCAGCGTTTCCATGGCAGCCGGTGTTATCTGTGTGTATTTTTGTTGGGACTTGTAGTTTTGGGGTTTGAGTGTCAAAATGAGATTTTTTTTTTTTCACACCATGAGGTGCAGAGGGGAGAGATAAGAGAGAGTCCCCTCTCAGCGTTAACGAGAGAAAGTAAGAGAGAGAGAGAGCTGCACAGATAGAGAAATGAATGGTCCACACAGCAGTACTGCCCCACCTTTAGCTGCACTTTACAGACAGTCTGTGCATCTGTGTCCTTCCCATGTAGCATGTGGTTAACTTAGTGGCATTTTTTTAAGATCTACATAACAATATCAAAAGCAGTTTGCATTCTTTGCTCAATGTGGCAAAAAACTTCACACACACAATTGAGAAAAATGTGTTAAAGGATGGGTTTGTTTTGGTAAAATAAACTTCTTTATAGTTTCCCAAAACCTGAACTCAAACCTCAGAAAGTGTCTTAATGAATGCAGTTTAAAGAACATGTTGAATCGGAAATTTGCCTAAGCTAACCCAGTTACTGTTCGTATAAGATAAGATAAGATAGTACTTTATTGATCCCAATTTGGGAAATGTTTGCGTGGCAGCAGCATAAAAAAGACATGGCATTGTACAATAAAAATTCAAAGACTAGAAATAAACAAGAAAGTAGAAAATATACATGTTGAATTTAACAAGGTATTATATATACATAAATATATACATAAATATATGACAGATGGAATATTAAATATTGAACAGATTATATAAATGTAAGATGTACAATGTGGTTTTATTCCAAGAGGAACTATGGAGCAGATGACGATGATATGGGATCTAAGAAATGCTAGGCTTATCTTCCCATTATTATAACTGTAGCATATAGGACACATGTGTCAAACTCAAGGCCCTTGGTGGATTTAATTTCCTCCCGCACACCTTCACTCAATCCTGAGGGTTTCCTCCGCTCAGAGCCTGAGCCCAAACATTGATGAACTTGCACCCAAGATGAGATGCCAAGTATCTGGCTTGAACTAGCATCACAGAGCAGCACACTGAGTTTACATGGATGTTTCCTTCTGCACTTTCTTTCTTGAGACAGCAGGACATGTTTGGTTTGTTCTTTGAGGGAAATAGTTTTGTTGAAGCTGTTGTTGGCCTGTGGAAAAATGTAATCATAAGAAATGACTCCGGAAAAGCTGCAGATAGAGCCATAAGAAATTAATGCAACTGATTATTTAATGTTTAATGTTGTTTTTATAGGCAATCATTTAAGCTTTGGTAGTTCCAGGTTTAATATGTGCAATAAGTTCATTTCAATAAGTTTTGCAATAAACATTGAACCAGTCCGGCCCTCGAATAGTACCCATTTTTTTATTTTCTATTTTTTCTGTGTATTTGAGTTTGACACCCTTGATAAAGATCATAAAAAAGATCAATAAAGTCAAGCTAACTACAAGTGACTAATGGTAAAATTGTTGAACTCAAAAGAGAATCTACTTAAAACCCCATTGTGTTGTCATGTTTTGACAGTAACATACTTCACTATATACACTATTGTGTTTCTGTGTTGTACTGGAGAAAATATGTATTTCTTAAAATGTCTACTGATAATTTTAACACTTCAAGAATTTGTACAAGAAGTAGTCGCAGTAGTTTGAGTTAAAGTACAATGATTAATAGCAGCAATAGTTTACTTTACTGCGATCCTCGTAAACAGTAGTATGAGCATTGGCTATTCTACCTGGGGTCTGTAATGCTTTAACAAGTGTAGTTGTGGTAATTCATGCAGTAGCATCGGTTATTCAGTCATATTCAGTACAACATGTTATACTTATAAAGCAACAGTTGTAATACCAGTTGTAATTGATTTGGTATTGATTCCACAGTAGGACATTCTTCCCTATCACTGAAACATCATAAGCTGTTCAATACTCTCCTACCACTCACACAGTCAGATCAAAATACGTCATCCACATTCAATAACAAACCATCAATAAACCCCACTGAGAAACCCCACAGAAGAAGCTAATGCCCCCAGGAACAGAAGTTAACAGACTGTAGAATAAAATGTGTAATAAAGACGGAGGGAGCTGTGTTCATTAGCTGATGTGAGGAATGCTGCCTGCTTTGTCTCAGCTGTCGGCTCCAAAGTGTGTGTCCGTCACCGCTCACCTGTGGCGTGTGAATGAAGGTGCAAACATGGCTGCCGTGACCTCGTCTCAGTGTCAGTCTGAGTTCATGTGCATGTCTGTCTGGCTTTCTGTAACCTTTTAAAAGTTGTTTTTAAGTCAAAATGTGCAGTCTTACCTGTAGAGTAACACCTACTGTCATTCTATCACACTAGTTATACAGGTTCAGGAAATGCTGCTCCAAAATATGCAAAAAGGTGTTATGTTGAAACACTAGGAAAGCACTACTGTGTCACTCAAAAATGAGTTCAAAGGGAACAAAATGATAATCATGGATCAACTTATCTCTCTTTTCTTTCATTAATACAATCTGATCATTTGTGTTCCCATTACCAAAACTGTTGTATGTAATTACTGGAGTTAAAACCTAGGAGAAAGTATTCAATGTATTGATTTCTACACCTTATCAGCACTACACAGAAGCAAAACATCAATCTAAAGTATGCACAACATAGGATACTCTCATCAACTGAAAATGTATATATGAGAAACAAATCTGAAGCTTACTGAACTTCTGTCAATTACATTATTGTAACAGGTTAAAGTGCCTACGTGACTACGTCTCGAACGCTGTTGTTAACCAGTCCTGTTCACATTTACACACTTTTGAAACTGAGAGGCTGCAGCATTTATTTATTTCCAGGCTTACAGTAACACTGGATTGCACTTGTATCTGGCCATTTTCACACAGAAGCACTGCAACCATGTGACATTTGACTTCATCTACTCTCATTCACATATATCACATGAAGGGTAGAGCAGCATGTGTGCAGGTTTCGTCATGTTTCACCTTTTATATGTCGGTTTTAATGTGAGTAAATATTCAGCACTGATGATTACAAACCTTTGTGTTAACATCTGGTCATTTGAGGATCTTTTCAACCTTCACAGGGAGATCGGTGCTTTGTGGTCTCTAATATTCATTGTACTACCTCCTATAGAAAATGGCAGATTTTGCCAGGTCGAAGCCGCCAGTCATCAGTCTGTGCATGTGTGCCTTCATGCATACTTTGTTTGACCCTTAGGCCTATTTATGTCAATCTATTATGTTGCCTCGTCAAGATATGCATCTGTGGTTGTGTTTGGCCCTTTCTTCTTCTTTCATCTGTTCTGTTTCTCGCCCGTCCCTCCCTGCAGACTCGGGTTACACTCCTCCATCAGATGGCGTTTTGCCTGGCTGAGCTGCACTTGTGGTCCACCAAGAGCTCACTCCAAGTCAAAGGTAGCACTTATCAGCATGTTCAATCTGTCTCCATCGTCCTCTCTCTGTGTCTTTCTCTCCTCTCTCCGTCTTGCTCTTGCTCTCTCTGTCATCACTCACTTTGTTTTCACACCTTCTCCCCACCTCACCTATATCTACTCTATCAATCTAACTCTCAGTCAACACCAATTCTCACTGTCTTTTTCCACTTTCTCTTTGCTCTCTAGAAAATATTGTTCTGTGTGTGTTGCATTAAACATGACATTCTTTATGTTTGTATGTTGTTTAAAGTGTGATTGGTTAGCATAACCACAAGCAACTAGTTAGGGTTAGGGTTAGCCCCTAACCCTAACCCTAACAACGAGACCACACACGTGGACTAATGTTGACAAAGGCATGCAACCGTTCCACACCTGTTGACAAGGAAACATTTGTTCAACTTGTGTAGCAATGAGTGCTACAGGGGAGCATGTTTGGATCAAGTATAAAACAGACTATCGTTAGCAAAAAAAAAACCTAAACATTAAGATTACAAACTAATCTTTAATTCAAATCTGATTTATTGGCAAAGGTTTTTCTGTACTCTCAGTGTACTCAAACAGTAATAAACATACAGCAAAAAGCAAGGACATCAGAACTTAATGTAAGAAACATAAAATATGTAGCGTACTTTTAATACATTCTTGGCAAAACTAAGTGCCTACATTACCTATAATGCAACGGCCATAGATGTAGGTTTGTTATGCTACTAGCATCTAGCCAAAAGCAGAGATAATGTGAGCTACAGATTTATTTTTATTTTCAAAACGTATTATTCAGATCCAACCAACTCTACCTGGAAAGCCGTCAGAAGACTTCATAATATTACATTTTTAGGAATATACAGTAGTATTTGCCTAGGTCCTCTTGAAGAGTGGTGTGTATGATTCTTATTTAAGATTATATTCAAGAAGAACAGCTACTTTAGCATTAGCAATTTTATTTCCTTTCAACATGAACAGTAGACACAATACTTAAATAAAATATTGTGTGCAAATGGCTCAGTTATGGTAATTTAATGCCACACACCACATACATCACCATCGTGCATACACTGAGAAACAATACCGGCCAGCAATGCTTCCCTGTGAGGAAGAGTGGGTGTGGCGTAAGTTTGACTTGTCTTCAGTTCTTCTGCGTCTTTCTGCCCGCCACCTATCAGTCCATCTCTTCTGTCAGACGGAAATGCTCTGTTTCTCCATTTTCTTGTTTTCTCCTTCCTTTCATTCTGTCTTGTCTTTCACAGTCTGCTGAGCCTTAGACCCAGATAGTGTCTCTCAGTGGCAGGCTGTGTCTGTGTGTGTGTATGTGTGTGTGTTTATGTACACAAAGGTACATCCCAGGTGATGGTGACATATCCTTATTTGTTTGTTTTCTCCCGCTGTGTGTGTCTTGTGCTATCTTGGAAAGAAATGTGGAGGGATACATCTGCGCGGAAAGGCCTGGTCACTGAGGTGTGACGCTCCCTATCACCACCGTGCTTACATCATATACATCCACCTCAAAAACAATCATATGTATTCATAAAAGCAGCATCTGCTGTTCAATGCTAGGAAACAAATGTTTTCTATGTGTATTTGTATGCCCTACATGCGTTCATCACGTCTGTACAGCTGCACACCAAAGCAGACATCTCTTACAACTATACCATCTGCTAATGTTGGACATTAAGCAGCCTCACGGAAAACCAAAACTATAATGTAAAAGAAGGGTTTTGTTTGTTCTTACTTCCACCGGAAACTAGTTTAGCTTTAGGATTAGTTTAGACACTAGAATTTCAGTTGGAAGTTGGTTTACGAGCAGTTTGACATTTGAATTTCACTGTGGAAATTGAAATGGAAATTGAAAACATAAGTATGATTTTGAGTACGTTGAAAGCCAATGAAAGTTGAATATTAAACTTCCAGAAGTGTGATATCAAAATTGTACGGCTCCAGTACATGTACACTTAGCATGGACTTCCTACACATGTAATATATATCTTATTGACTCTAGTACATTCATTTATATCAAATAAAAAGTATCTGCACATTCATAGATTCATGTTTCTTCAATTAGAGAGGAGTAGATAGATGTCATTAAGTCGTTTTTACTTAGTATTTGAACAAACCATATCAGACAGTAATTATCTTTCAAAGAAGACACTTTTTAAATGTCTTAAAGGAGAGGTGTCATGCTTTTCCGGTTATTACCCGTCCCCTTGTGTGTTATGAAGGTTTTTATGCATGTAAACGGTGTGCAGAGTCAAAACCCTCAAAGTACACCCTGTAGCGAGTAAAACTCTAACACAGAGAAGACCTCCCCAAAACGCCTCGTTGGAGATACGTCACTGCCCATTTGAGTCTTCCATTTCGTTCCGGGTACGGCATGATGTCAAGCGGTACCCGGAACGAAATGGACCAATCCCGAAGAGCCGTTACGTTACGTCCGCGGAGCCGTTACGTTAAGCCCCCGCTGATTGGTCCAAATTGACCGATCCACGGACTTCCTCACACACACATCTGTGTGCAGGGAGCAGGCAGCTCAGCTGATTTCTCCTCCCTGGCTGCAGGCTGATAACAGACAGTTGGGATTGCGGCAAAATTCTCTCTGCAGACCCATTCTCACAGCGTTTATCAACCTTTTTCTTACTCAATATCAAGCCACACTTATTGTTTTTACTTCGGATGTGAGTTTGTGTGTGCTCAGGATGAGTTTGGCTGTGTTTCGCTATGTATCCTAAACAAGGAAACAACACCTCCACGGAGCTCAGCGCGATTCACAACGTCCCGACCAATCAGAGCACACTGTGCTCACAGGGAGGGTGGGGGCTGGAGCTATTGGAGCTACAACGAGCCGTTAAAGGCAGAGAGTGAAATTCAGTAAATACAAGTAGTTTACAGAGATGCTGTATGAGAAACCAATGTGAGTTTGGAAAAATGCACAGTATAAATCTATTCTAGTAGACCTCAACAATGGAATTATGATCAGTGGAAATGGCCATGACTCCTCTCCTTTAAAAGATGTCAGTCAAACAAATTGAGTTTGGTGTAACTTCACACAGACTGAGACATCATGCAAATAATTGAAGCAATGCATTCAAACCACTTTCAACGCAAGTGCTTTCCTTTGATGCTTTAGTCATTGTTTCATAGAAAAGGGTCAGGCTGATATTGGCAGATACTCAAGGTTACAAAATCACTATCCTTGTCAGAATTGGAAAAAGTGTCATCAAGCCATTAGTTATAGTGGTGAGTGTGTTTGTGTGTGTGCCATCAGCTGTCCTGTTGTATTAGTGTGACCTGGCCTCAGGAGCAGCAGCAGTGCAGCGATAAAGAAACGATGTGTTGTGCGAATCTGAGTCTGGCTGCTTATGGTTCTGGGCCTGCAGGAATAACACTGGCAAAAAGGCTCCGCTCAGCAGTTTGTGTGTGTGTGTGTTTATCTACTAGTGTGTGTGCCTGCTATGTGTGTGTTGCTCATATGTTTTCCGTATCTGCCTGCTGTGTGTGTCGACTTTTTAATGTATATGTTGCATGTGTGTAAATCAGTCTGTCCCTCAGGTGGGATGGGTTATGGCGCACTCCTGTCTTTATTAATACCCCTCTGCCTCCCCCTCCATCCTGGGCTCGGACTCCCCCCGGCCCCCCCCTCCCTCCTCCCCCCTCACAGGGTCTTATCTAAACTGTGGTGCTGGCAGACGGGACAGGCCACTGGCTGATAGCGATTGTTTATCCCACGGTGCGAAATTGCTGATCTGTCTTCTGCTTTTCCCTGACAGCTAGATGTTCATCTCCCTCTCTCCCTCTCTCTCTCCCTCTCCCCCCCCCCCCCCCCCCTACAGATACAGATATTGGCACCTATCAGTACTACGATAAAGGAGAGCCAGGTAAATAGTGTTTATATTGGATGTCTGTTTGTGTTTAAGATAAGTTGCATTTGTCTTGTTTTTGGAATGTATGTGATTTCCTTATATATGAAGAAGGGCTTTCTGCTGCCTCCCACGCTGCCATAAGCTGCAAACACACACACAGACGCACAAATTATTGCTCCTGCGCATTTTAAAGTCTTGCCACAGATACACTTGTCCACACAGAGGCTATTAGTATGCAGGATTTGCACCCTAAAGCCCTATATACACACACACACACACACACACACACACACACACACACACACATACGTGCAGGTTATTAGGCCTCCCTGGTTCTATCTCTTACACTCCCTGTGTTGCTGTTGACCCGGGGTCTTGCCACACAGCGATATGGAAACTAAACTGTTGACTTTCGTCTAGATCACATAGCAAGAGGCCCCATGTAGTCCGGCCTCATATTGCCTCGGGCCTATAGGCTTCCCTTACCATCAGGAAGTGCTCACATCGCTCAGATCGCTCCCCCGCGGCCCGAGCACTGGAGGGTCGAGCTGTCTCTTAGTTTGCTTTTCTTGACTTTGTGTGTAGTCATTTTTCTTAGTGAAAATGATGCATCTTGAAGCATTTTGAGATTTGCACTGAGTGACCTGTGAAAGGTAGCAAATTAGACTGCCATCATCTGTTTGAAAGACCTTGACAATGAAACTCGGCTGACTTAATTTGTACTGATAATCGGATAGTCAAACATATTCAAATAACTCTTAACTTGGCACTCTTCAATTATAGCTAAAATACTTTGTCTTATAAAAAAATATACAAGGATTAGTACATTTTTAAATAAAGTATGGGTTCAAATTTGAGTTATTATTACTATCTATTTTCCTTTAACAAAAAAAATACTAGAAATGTCTTGTTTTATCTGCATCATTATCGTATTACGGTAGTATGACAAACATATTAGCTAACAGCAGTGGCGGACTGGCCATCGGGATGTTTGGGTCGAATGCCGAAGTGGGCCCCCCCCCCCCCCCGTTGACAATTTACTAGTGGTACCGAAGTGGGCCGGTCGAGATGCCCCAGTCCGCCCCTGGCTAACAGGGTCATGTTTCTGGACGATTCATGACTCTTGAAAACTTTTCAGACCCAAGTCTGGCACTTATAAGGATCTACATTTTCCACTAGTTTCACCAGTTAGTCACTAACTATGTCTGTCTTCAGTTTGGTTTGCGAGTAGGAAGTGTACAAAGTGTTAACAGAGATTTTTTTTGTCACTGATGAGAACATTGAAAGTGAACCAAAAACAGTGAAAATGTGATCCATAAAACCAAAACAATGTGCTCAAAGACTCTGTGAGTTTGTCACTAAAAGCAACACCTTTCATTATCTGATCCATTCTTTAAATAAGATCCTGATGAGAGGTGCTTTAAGGTGTATCATGCATATCTGTAAGAGTGCATAAACCCTCTCTTGCTTTCGTTCTCTCTTCTTGAAGACATACAGTAACATCCCTCTGTCATGTCTCTTCTTCCCCCATCAACTCAATTTAACATCTTCATGTTTTTGCTTTTGTCTCAATGGTCCCGCCTTTCTTTCATTCCCTTCCTCTTGCCTCGTTTTTTTCTCCCTCCATGTATATTTTTGTTCTTTCTCACATTGTGTACAGTATGTCTCTCCCTCTCATCACAGGGTTTTCTCCCTTCTCTCTCATGTGAGAAGCTGCCTTCTCTCTCATTGCAATCTTCAGAGGGGAGACGATGCTCTCGCTCCAAATCCTTTCATTTGGAGGATTACTAAAGTGTGGCTTGATATCAGAGTGGAGGGAGGAGGAGGGGGGGGAGGGGGGGAGACGGAGCAGAATCACTATCCAAAAACATTTTCACTCAGTGCTGTAACGATTGCTCAGGTCATGATAGGATTGCATATAGATTACATTCGATTAGATTACCGTTTGGCCGTTTGATATATTGAATGAAGACTTTGGCATTCATCCTGGAAATACGAACAAAAAGTATGATTGCGTGTGTGTGTGCTCAGGCAGACATTTTAAAACAAAATACTGCCCCAATACTTAGCTTCTATTACATTTCCTCTGTCATTGTTGATATTGCATTTAAGGTACCTGAAAATCTTGACTATTTATCCAAACAACTTATTATTTCTGACCAAATAAGTAACCAGATGGGCACTTGGGAGACCCCAGAGCACCTCCGAGGCCGCCCATAAGTGAAAAATACAGCGTGTTTACGTGTTGTTATTCGGATCTGCTCTAAAATTAAATGTTTTTTTCCTTGTCCCATGCTTTACACTTCCACCAAGTTCAATGGAAAGTGGTCCAGCAGTTTACCGTAAACCTGCTGACAGACAGACAAACATAGTAACAAACCCTATATTCACATTTCTCATCACTTCCTTTGATTCACAATAGCTTTTAAAATATTTCTATATTGGCTCTTATTTTACATTTTTATTTTCTCTTGCTGTGGTTATGTATTCACCTTCCTACAGGAGAGCAGACTCCTTTTTGAGGCAATAAACCAAACTCTGATCCTGATATCAGCTTCATTGAAATGCCCACGAGCTGAAGTGTGTATCCCTCTCCCTCTCTGAACATTCTCTGAAATGTTAGTTCCCCCTCTCCCCACTAGAGGTAGACCCAGGCTCATTGGAGCAGCTCCGAGGGTCGCCTGCAGCCAAACCCCCCCCCCCCCACCACCCAGCCCCAGAGCAGGTGCCCATGTCTGGGCCTGTCTGGCCCCTCACCCCCTTATCTGATTAATACTACTAATCCTGGAGGTGTTCTGCCTGCCAGCGGCCGGCCACCACACCGTCACCGGCCACGAGGCACGTTACCGGCTGCACTTTGCCAACAAGGTCTCTCAAAGCTAAAGGGGGATGTTTGAGCTGCAGCTTAGTTTCCTGTTCCTCATTATCCACATCACATAATCATTTATCATGACCACAATGTTTAGGGTCTTTCTTTTTTTTGAGATATTTTCTTTTTATTTAGGTAGAGAGTCAATGGGTGTTTAAAACCTAATCAAACAAAACAATACAACTCAAACTAACAGCACAATGGTTTAGCTTATTAAAAGTAATGTCATTTAGTTCGATTTTTCATGGTTTAATGCACTTATTATAAGTTGCTTTGGATAAAAGCTTCAGCTAAATGAATTGTTATACAAACAAATCTGTGTTTTTCTGTAGAAAACTCGGGGGCTATACAATATCTGATGCTCTTTTACCTGAAATCTATTATACGGTTTGATAACTTAGTTCATCAATTCCAATATTTATCATAAAGTCCCATCAAGTGTAACGTATTCAAATACAAAAAATGTCATGCATCACTTTAAACCAGTCTGCTAGTGGCTTATTATTTTCCTTTTACTGGGAACCACTGATATTTGTACACTTTTGAATAGCTAAGAAGCTTTTATGTCATCCTTACCCTATGGCTATCTCCACAGTACACCATGTTATTCCATATGCTGTTTATCTTCCAAATCCAGCCCTCTAATTGGCCTTTTTATTATTTTCTTCCAGCTAATCCCCTGGAGCATCACTACTACAATGAGAAACTCCATTTCTGTGAAGGTAAGTGCCCAACAGAGGAACTCAAAGAGTGATTTAAACAATGTCATCTTCATATCAATGTGTTTGAGCCCTGACCATCTCACCAGTGGATGACCATCTTCCAGAAATCACTGTCCCTCTTTTCTCTCCCTCTCTTCCCCTCACTCTCTCTGCTTTTCACCCAGTAGTGGAATACAAACACTCTTATCAGGAGACGAACACTCATCCCCTCCCTCCTCTCTCCCCTGACCCCCCCCCCCCCACCCTTATTTGCATGCATCTGTTTACCTCCTCTTCCCACTCATTCTTATTAGAGAATCCCGCTTCTTTTAATAGTTTGTTTCAGTTAAGATGAAAAGAGGGACCGTGTTAAATTAAGGGCAGTGACTGCTCCATGTTGGAAACAGCAGTCTTGCCTTTTCCATTTCTCTCTCACTGAACTTCATGTATGTGCGTGGGCAGAAGCAGATGCACAAATTCAATTAGCTGTTTTTTCTTCATATCCTTGCCTCCCTCTGTTTAACCGCTAGAGATGGAGGGGGAAAGGGAGGGCTGGGAAATTAAAACGAAGGGGCCTTGGTGTTGTACGTGTTGAGATATGTGCTGCTGACTGTGAGGTTGCATTTGGGAGATAACTCAACTCAAGAGCGCCAAAAGTCCTCACGATTAAATATTTGCTTCTCCTCGAGGACCACTGTGTGTGTTTTTGAAGGGACATTTTGCTTTCAGATGAATATTTTCCCTCCGTAAGTGCAGCTGCATCAATCTGTAAGCAGCAGATTTCAGACTTTCGCTGCTTTGGGGATATGGTAGTCAGAAATATAAGCTACACATCTCTGTAGTTTCTATATGGTCAGCAATGGTTTTACATAAAGTTTTAAAAATGTATGTAAATGAGTGACATAGCTACTGTACTTAGGGGAACCAATGTTGCTGTCAAAAACTCACAAGTGATCTCTACTGCCTTATTCTGAGGAACAAGATATGTGACGTTTTGTTCATTTAATTGAATATGCTTGATTACAATTAATCTATTAAAGGGGACCTATCATGCAAAATGCACTTTTTGATGTCTTTTATACATAAATATGTGTCCCCGGTGTGTCAGGGAACTCACGCAGCGTCAGAAAATAAAACCCTCTCTTTTCCTCTGTACCCAAATCTCTAAAAGCGGGGCTACAACGGAGCTGATCCAGATTTGCGTCCGATATGACGTAATATCTGAAATGTGGACCCACGGCCCTATCAGAAACGTTGCTATCAGAAACAATGCCCGACTGTTTTGGACGTAATATGGTCGGTGTTTACATTAGCATCGCTAACACTCAGAGCTAACCTGTACTGGAGAGCATGTGTGTGAAGAAGCAGGAAATAAAAAGGAACTCACCTTGTGGTATAACCGGCAAGAGAGAAAGCCTTTGAGCTCCATACTGTTTCAGAAATAATCCTTGATAATCCATGATATGGCGTTTCATCACGGCAGTATTTAGTTTAGACAGTAGCTGCCGGGTCCCACATTTTTTTAAGCTTTATACCCCAAATCAGCACTTTTGAAACAGGAAGTGAAATAGAGGGATATGAGGCATGGCTAGAATGGGTGATCTGTTTGGTATTTTGAGCAAAACACTTCATAGACATGTTTTTTATATATTTTTATTTATCTGAGACCTATGCTATTGCCTAAAAATAGCATGATAGGTGACCTTTAATATCTAGGTGCTCTTGTTCTTTAGTGGCCTCTTGGTTTTAATCAATATAGTTTTTCTCAGAAACACAGGTTGCCATCTGGAAAAACCTCATTTTATTTGTTTACCTTTTGCTGTTTGTTGGATCCTTTACTTGTTACCCTCAAAATAAATCACATTTTTTATCATTTTAAACTCAAGTTGTAGTCAGTCTTGAATGATCTGGTGCTTGTCGTCAAGTCGTATATGATCGTTTTATTGTATCAATGTGTCTTTTCTTCAGTTTTTGTATGTATTTTCTTGTTCAGTTCTATATGTTTTTAAAGGCCCATCCATGGACAGGCATTACAGAGTAAATATACTCTTGTCTAGTCAATTTAATATAGGAGGATTACATATGCATTAACGGATACCAATGGTGCAAATATGTTAGAAAAAGGATTTACCTGTTTATTATCTTTCAATGAAGTCTATAAAATGGCAGATCATTGGTGAAAAAGGTCAATTGCAATGATCCAAAGCTCAAAGGGACATCTTCAAGTTGCATGTTTTGTCCTATCAACAGTCCAAAACCAAAAAGGTAACAATTTGACCTAAATATGACAACAGAGAAGAACAGAAAATCATCACATTTGAAATGCTAGACTCAGAAAATGTTTTATTTTCTTGATAAAAATGATGTGAACTTTTGAACATGGGAAACGTTTCAACTCAGGTTCGATAAATTACGGGAGTGCTGACATTGCTCTGTATGCATCCAACAGATTCAGCATTGCATTGTGGGATGCCTGCTTCGTGTACCTGCATCTCTTTATTCCGCCTGATTGCTTGTCATCACCCTTTATTCCTCATGTCCCCCCCTTTTCATACATAGATCTCGAGTTTAACCCCTTTACCCTTTCTGGTTGTTGGTGCCACATTCTTCTGAATCCCCATGAGGGCCTTTCTTAAAAAAATATAAATTTCTCCTGTGTCTAAAAAAAGTTCGAGTCACATGATCTCCAGATTCTTCTCGTGTTTTTCCTTCGTAGCTCGAGGCTATTCGTGGACCCCCAGTAACCGCCGACCGGAGAAGCTACGCGATTCGCTGAAGGAGTTCGAGGTGCCCGCCCCCTCTGTTAAACCCTCCGTCCCCCCCTTGTCTTCTTCCTCCCTCTGGGGATTTTCTGAGTTTTCCCTTTCCGAAACGGCCGATTGATTAACAAATAGGGGCATTCTCTCTCTTCTCTCCCCCGTTTGTTCTCCCCTCTCCCTCTTCTCTCTCATCACTTCTCTTTCGGCCGAGCTCTGTCATCGAGGGGGATATTTGAGGGGATCAGGGGGCTGCAGACTCCCTTCTCTTCCTCCCTCCTTCCCTTCCTCCTTCCCTTCCTCTCCCCCCCCCCCCCCTCCTCTGTACTTGTGGCAGCACAGACCTAGCTTTGTTTGCTGGAACCTGTCTGTGGCTGTTACACACACTCCCCACCTCCCTCCTCTCACCCGTAACCATTGTCTGAAACGAGAAACACCCCATCTCACCTCCACACCTCCTCCTCCTCCCCCTCCGTCCCTCTCTCCTCCCATCCAATCACCCCAGCTGGGTTTGGAATGTGGCAGGAATGACTGACCTTACACACATTCACAAAACACACACACACACACACGCTGGCATGCACACAAGAAGTCCTTACCTGCATCCTCTTTCAACTCTCTCCCACCCCTCCCTGAGCAGGAAGTGCTGCAGGGACACCTGTGGTGAGTAGGGTCCGGTGCTGTGTACCAGCAGGATAATTAATGCAAGTATGGGCGGCACAACGAGGAGGAAACTCAGTGAATTGTTACGCCGGAGTTCACTGTTTCAAACTTCATTAGAGGCAAAAAGAAACCACTTTTCAAACACTTAATAAACAAGACAGACTTTACATACCAATCATGTTGTAGACCAATAAGCTCCAGGAAGTCGTAAAAAAAGGTTTTCCAGATTTTCCAAAACCTATCCAGTTTGTTTTTAAGGAAACAACGTATCCTTTCAAGAGCAAGGTAGAAAGTCATCCCTTTCAGACAATGAGAAAGTCCACAGGTTAGAAACCACTCTTTCTGGTTTAGTTCCTAACGTGACATATACATTTTCTACCTGGTTAAACACAATTCTATATTGCGTCAGGTCTGTGTGTCTGAACCTACTAGTTGCATTTGGTGTTTGGACCCCGGTTCACTTTCTTCTTGGTATTTCTCTCTGTTTATCTATTGCGCTCATCCAGGAACTGTTGCAGACCAACACCTGCGTTCACACCAGATGGAGGAACAAGCACTGCTGCCAGGTACACACACACACACACACACACACACACACACACACACACACACACACACACACACACACACACACACAATGCTCATAGTGACGGGAAACAATGCAAGAAACCTCAGGGACAGATGTTACAAGCGAGACCAAAATAGAAACACATACATGGTGATTTGGTCACATTCTACTCACTCTGAGTAGAACGAAAAGATGCAGTCACATGTTTCTTAATGCAGTTTGAAGCACTTTTCGCTGTGTTTCTGTAAAAGGGATGGTGTCAAGATCAGATAAGATAGAACTTATAGATTCTTACTCTTTCAATTACTTTGCACATTTACATTTTAGACTCTTTTATTGTTGAATCTTTGTCTATTGCAAGATTAAAGGTGGTTTGTGTTACTCTGCAGGTGTTGCTGAGCAGTGGAGTTCTGGTGACCCTGACCCTGAATGGACCTCAGCTAGAACAAGTGTTTATAGACCGCACATTAGTGGGCCGACTACCAGCTAACACTGTTGCTGATGGTTAGTTACACACACACATACATACATGCAAAAGCACACACACACACACACACACACACACACACACACACACAAAGGCTGGTCCAGTCTTCAGGAAGCTTGTATTTCAGTCTTTGGCGTACAATATGTACATTAAATGTGTGTATTTCTGTAAAGAAAATAATGTTTAATCCAGCATTGGTATCCACTGCATTGAAGCCTTTAGACATGTTTTGTATGGCATTTCTTTTACTTTGGTGCTGCTGATGCTAATTAGAAGTGTTGCATAACCATAGCGCCTGTTATGGCCGTAAAGAAGGCTTTCTCCCAGTGTTTGCTTTCACTGAATCTGAAGGAAATTACAATGCATGTCAGACTTAAATATTCCAGAGGTTCATCATGGTTTAAGGAGATTTAAGGACACAAACATCATTGTTTTCGCCACATGGTTGGACTACCTATCACTGCCCACAACCACACACACACAAACACACACAGAAAAACAAACAGAGAGACATTTGCATGTAAATGTTCAGTGTTTTAAAACCACAAAACCATCCACCACGCTCTTTCTCTCACTCTGTCAGCACCGATTGTGTGTTTACACCTGCTCACACACACACACACACACACACACACACACACACACACACACACACACACACACACACACACACACACACACACACACACACACACACACACACACACACAGTCCCCACTCTCCTCGCCACTTTGTCACACAAGCACTCTCTCACACACATAACAGGTGCCACAGGTGAGCCTGGCGACTCTGCCAGCTAATTGCGGCCAAATCCTTTTGTGCTGTGTGTGTCCAGGGGCCTTCCCTTAAGAGCATCCATCAGTGTTTTTCCGTCCATCGTGCGTTCCTCCAGGGAGCGCCGCCCCCCCCCCTCGCTCTGCAGACCTGGCAGGAGAGAATAAGGGACCATGGACACCGGCCCAAATCTGCTAATTATTTCTTTCTTTCTGTATCAATTATTTGTTCATAACACCGCCCTCCCTGCTTCCGTCGGGGGTCTCCAGACACCTGATAAAGCCTCCATACACACACATACATACAGACAGACATACACACACACACACACTCACACACACACACAGACAGACACAAACCTCTCCTTTTCTCGTTCTCACATGCAAACATATGTAATTAGAGACTTTTTTTACATAGACCAACAAGCACTTACTGTATGTCGTCTCACATTAACAGGCACACTGGGACACACATGCACACGCCCACATACACAATGGCACACACACACACCCAGGTACACGCGCACACTCTCACATCCCGCTGTGTTCCATTCAAAGCCTCAGAGGCACTAATTATTAGAGTAATGGTTGTGAGAGGGCGGGTTCCGGGGTGTGTGTGTATATGTGTGTGTGTATATGTGTGTTGCAGGGGGGAGTAGGTTAGAGGCTGTTCTCACATCTGTCACTTGTTAAATTAGCCTTAGACAATTAGAGTAGAGAGCCAGGCGAGATCACACCGTCAAACACATTCACAACGTGCAATTACTGAAACAGTTTACAATTACAATGAAGTTTTGTACGAGTGTGTGTGTGTGTGTGGTGTTGTGACAGCCTAGGTAGAAGTGTCATTTTTGTATCTCTGTATGCATTTGTATGTTCAATGACTGCAATGCCAGGTCAAATGTCAAATATAGGGTGGCAGCTAAGGGCTCTTTTCATACTCGATAACTTTTTAAGAGTATGAAACTTAACAAAGTTACGGTTACAAGAAATGCAAAACTAAATAAACTTAAATACATAAAAAAACTACATACAAATCCACAAATCAGAAAAGGAGATTAATAATCATTTATAAGGTAGCACATGATGGATAAGACATTAATACTCATACATACATTAATTGTCATATGTCAGACCAACAATTAAAAACCAAACAATATCAAATTCATTATCATTTATCTTGTAATACTCTGACAAGCTACAACAAGCAAATATTTGTCATAATTGCTTTAAAAGTGACCAAAAAGATGACTTAAATATTAAAATAGTGTCCTTTTCATTTTCTCTAGTTTCAAACGTAGGAAAATCTTTCAATAAAATGTCAGTCACTTTACAAAGACAGATAATTCGTTTACATTTTGGGAACAGGATTTGACAACTTACTAAAGCGAGCAGGTTACAGCAGTGGCGAACCGTGTCTATCACAACTGGACCTTCTGTAGACACACACACCCCCCCCCCCCCGCCGTTATAATGTCTGTCTTTTCACTGAATTGTCGTCTTGAAAAGGGTACTCACAACAATTCCGCAACTATATCATCTTCACCTGTTGCACTTGCCATTTCAACGTTAAAAACAATAAAACGGCATATGAATTGCTTCGTGGCATTTATCTAGATCCTCTGTCTCGAGCCAGTTAACTACCGGGCCTTCTAGAATACTCTGGAACCGAGGGAAACTCTGAAAGAATACGCCCATTGGCTACAAATCAATATATGATTGGTTGATCATTCTATCAAGGATATAGAATACCTTGGTTGAAGGATATTCTACCCAGAGACCCAGAATAAGATCTGATTGGTTGCTTGCACAAAACCACTGAAATGCGTAGTGCATGGTCCGAGAAGGACAAACAAATCAACGTAACACTGTAATATTACAGATCAACAACACAGATACGATTCTCATTTATTCATTTTGTATACATTTTATTTATAAAATTAAATCGATTTTTTTGTTTGTCTGAGTGTTCCAGGGTATTCTCTGAATACCTTGAAGGCCCTGACGGTTCGCCACTGGGTTACAGTATGTGAACGCTGGAGTAAATCCTCTTTCTGATTTGCATGGATCCGGCTGAATGTGAGGCCTGCTGCGTGTTTGTCCCTGAGACAACAAGCGACGGCAGCCAGAACTGTTTTTTGTTTCACGATGTGACAAAGCCGGCTTACTGTCCTCCCTTAAAGTTTGTATGCTCAATGCCGGCTACCTTCCCGTTTCCACCATCATTGCATCATACAGAGCTGTAGATTACACATATTTTACACCATCAAAGTATTACCGGCTTCCTTTGGCCGATGGCTGGGCCAAGCTGAGCATATGCTCCGCGATTAAGCAATCCTTATAAGTGATTTTTCATAGCCCGTTTCATTTACCCCATGTTTAAATGTGCTTTGGTTAAGCCCATTGGCCTCTTATGTCAACATGCTGCTGAGGAGATGGCATTAAATGGATTTAGGGGAATGTGTGTCTGTGTCTTTCTGTCTGTGTGTCTATGTGCGTGTTTCAACATGCTGAAGGTTTATATAGTGGGTGTAAATGTGTGTGTAACTGAGAAATCATAAAGCATGGTTGCATGTATGAATGTATATGTTGCTATCTGTGCATGTATGCTTGTGTCTAGAGGGTTTGGGTGTGTGTGTGTGTGTGTGTGTGTGTGTGGTGTGTGTGTGTGTGTGTGTGTGTGTTGTGTCTTGGGTGTGTGTGTGTGTTGTGTGTGTGTGTGGTGTGTGTGTGTGTGGTGTGTGTGTGTGTTGTGTGTGTGTCGTGGGGTGTGGGGTGTGCGTGGTGTGTGGTGTGTGTGTGTGTGGTGTGTGTGTGGTTTGTGTGTCATAAAGGTCTGGCCCTTAATGCCAAATCAGCCACCTGGTCCCAGATTGGGCCGCAGCCTGGTTTCATATCCCCTCCTTCATTTGGGAATGAATGGGATTAAATGTAATCCCGTTTATAGACACCCGTAGAGATCAATACTAAACTGCATTTAACTTGATTTGACTGTAATCTATTACAAAGACGCTTACTATTGCACTAAGCGTTGTTTCGAAAAAGAGCCAATGCTTCGTTAATGGCTGCATTTTGTTCAAGCCTTGGACCAGTTCTCTTTACTAATGATTTCTAATCCAACGTCAACATAAGGACACACCGACTCCATTGACCTGATTTCAGTTGCTAGTTTTTCTGTATTTCCATGCGATGTTTCACTTCCCTCGTAAATATTTGCATATTAATTTGAAATGTTCACACAACAGGATGATTTGAAGTGTAATCATACCAATACCCGCACGTTTTATAAATACACACATGCCGTGGTTAATTGGCGGTTAGATTTCTAAATCTCGGGGTGCAGCCTTACTCGTTCAACTCAAAGCAGGATATCTGAGAGACATGTGTAACAACCCCCCCTACTTTCCATTTAATTGGTTTCATAAACAGATTAATTTGAAGGAGAGGGGGGCTTAATTGCTAATCAGTGTTTCCATGCAGCTCCTGAAGAGTTGAACAGGATCAAGTGTGTTCTTCTACCACAAAAAGGCCTTTAGAGCCTGCAGTACACTGACAGGGGAAGAGAGGAGAGAACAGGAAGAAGGAGATACAAAGAATAAGGAGGCAGTGGTAAGAAAAAGAGGAAGCAGGAAGGAGAGAGGAACATTTAGAGGATAATGACAAAAGGCTAGGCTCTGTTCAGAAAAGTTTGTTTGGTTACCATTGAATGTGTTGATGTCTTTGAAAAGAGATAGTGAACTCTATAACTGTCATCTCAACATGATTTAGCTCAACTGGGTTTCAATCCTACATTCTCCCACACTACACCCCTCCTGCACTCCCTACACACCCAAATCCGCTTTAAGACACTGGTACTGGCCTATACTTTTGTGAGGGGATCCAGTCCTTCCCACATCCAGGAGATGATCAAACCATACACCCCAGCATGTGCACTTCGTTATGCATGGGTCAATGGGCTTTCTACACCCTTACTTGACCCAGGTACACTTCAACAAAAACACAACTCTTTGTTATCCCGGATCCAAAATGGTGGAATGAGCTCCCCATTGACCTCAGGACTGTTTCACCTTTACCTTGGCCATTAAATCAGAAAATAAGAATAGAAATGGAGCTCTTCATGAGTTCAGCCCATTTGAATGCACCAGCACTTCAATGATTTGGCTTATTTTGACGTGAATGTACCTGCACTTTTCTTGTTGTTCTGAGTTAGTGTCTTTGTGGTTTATTGCACTTATTGTAAGTGGCTTTCAATTTAAGTGTCAGCTAAATGTAATGTAATGTTGTTGTTGTTGTTGTTTTTAATCTTGACATTAATGATCATGCTGTTGTTCCCAGCGGTGCTGAGCGATCGGCTGATCCTGCTGTCCTTCCTGGAGCAGAGCCAGGTGGCTGCCGTCTACCTCAACCCAAAGAACCAGGAGACCCCGGAGACTGGCCGGCGAACAGACAAACTCTCACCCTCTGAAATCAAGGTACAGTCAACGCATTGATGTGCATGAGTAAAGTGTGTGTGCCTGAGAGATTCTGTGTGCACTAAGACTGGTGTGAGAAGATGAAGTGAGAGTCAGAAGGAGAAAGTAAAGACAGACAAAGAAAGGCAGTAACATGTCGTCCCATATTATTGTCTAATTCCTATCCTATCTGATGGCACGCTGAAACATTGTGTGTCAATACTTCCCGGACTACAAATTAACTTTGATTTGAAACCAGGAGTCTTCCAAATAAGAAAATCTTAACCTGTTGCTTCTTAATTCATTTGCAGACTTCTGTCTATAGAGATTACTTCACAAACTGCCTGAATCTAGCAAAAATGTAACTTTCATTTCGCTAGTTAAATCAGTTAACTATCAGAATCTATTATACTTGTTCGTGCCCTAACCTTTGGCTTAATGCAGTTTGTAAATTATGATTATTGGCCCAACTCGGGCTTTGTATCTTTGTGCACAACAGGTGAATGTAGTCACCATGGGAACCTTTTGTCTAAATGTGCCTCTTACTCTCTATATCTTTGCTGTTTCTGTCTATTAATCTCTCATAAAAGTGTGTATTGAGGCACTTGATCTGGAGGTGTTTTGTAAGTGTTAGTAAAAAGTCCGATTTTGTGCCGACCCGGTCGTCCCTCCCCCAAAACAAAACTATACTCTGTCCTCCCTCCCTTGCTAGCTGGCTAACCGCTAACCCTGGCATTATCACATTACTGCCAGGCCCTTTTGTTAAGGTGTGTGTGGTTGTGTGTGCGTGTACATGTGGGTGTGTATTAAAGCAATCGTTCCTGCCGTGCGTCTGTCTCCAGAAGCAGAGTCCTGATAAGACACCCCCCCCCCCCATAGTGTACACCCCACACCTCTGTCAATGCATGTGCTGCTCCATACACACATGTGCACACACACGCACAACTACCCATCCCCCACAACAAACACACACACACACACACACACACACACACACACACACACACACACACACACACACACACACACACACACACACACACACACACACACACACAACATCGCCCTGGTCCAGTGGGCTAAGCTGGAGAAGGGAGAGTGGGGGGCGTTGAGGGGGGGCTAAACTAATCCGGCCCACAGAAAGTGGTTTTTGATTATTGCTGACCAGCAAACGCCAGCAGAAAAAAAAAAACAGAAGAGGGAAGAGATGGGTAGGGATGGTGAGGTGGAGGGGGGCGGGGGGGTCGAGATAGTGTGTTATTAACCCGGTGATTTTCAGATTTTTTTCTTCTTTGCCATTTCTAATCTGTCAGTGATCTCCCGTTCAGCTGTTTGAGGCAACTCTTTGTTCCTTTTATCATCACATGTACTTCCATCATTTTAATTCATCTCTGTATTTCGTGTCCAAAGCAAATTCTCCCCCGAGGGGGCGAGAAGGGCAGACATGGACCACTGAACCTCCAGCTTGTCGATTTATTAATTTCTGCATGTTTCTGTGCTTTAAACCCTTTTTTTTGTTCCAAGAGATTTTAGTTTTTTTTGTTGTTTTTAGAATAATTTAAATAGACATTGCTGTATTACTGCTTTCATAACGTGCCTTTCTGTCAGGCCCTAGACACTCTTATACACGGTAACACAGGTCATTTGTGTGTGTGTGTGTGTGTGTGTGTGTGTGTGTGTGTGTGTGTGTGTGTGTGTGTGTGTGTGGTGTGTGTGTGTGTGTGTGTGTGTGTGTGTGTGTGTGTGTGTGTGTGTGTGTGTGTGTGTGTGTGTGTGTGTGTGTGTGTCATCGACTCTGGTAGCTGCTTCATTGTGTTAGTGAGTGTGACTGGAGATAAAGAGTGTGTGTGTGTGAGAGAAGAAGAAATGAGCTGTGGTGTTCATGAAAGGCAGGGTCACAGTGTAAGACCTGCAATTTCACCTGCTTTAAAAGTGCTTCTGGATGGAGCACTGTGTGTGTGTGTGTGTGTGTGTGTGTGTGTGTGTGTGTGTGTGTGTGTGTGTGTGTGTGTGTGTGTGTGTGTGTGTGTGTGTGTGTGTGTGTGTGTGTGTGTGTGTGTGTGTGTGTGTGTGTGTGTGTGTGTGTGTGTGTGTGTGTGTGTGTGTGTGTGTGTGTCTCTATAAAAGTGTGTGCTTGTATACACTTTTTACCCCACTGCCTGTACATGTATACATGTGTATTTGTGTGCATACATGCATGCATTCATGTATGTGTGTGTGTGTTTCTGTGTGAATGTGTGTGCCCCCCCCCAGCGCCACGAGAGCTCATTACTGTGCGTCTCTTTGTTGTGGCCCGTAGAGCGTGGCGGACCTTCCCAAAAATATGCACATCACTAAAACAACAAGCCCGACAGAACAAAACACGCAGACACACATTAATAATGGAAGATAAAAAACAACCTTTAGACATCAACAAAAACAAAATGGGGGAAGGACACGAGTAATATTCGGGGCTGGAGAAGTTTGAGAGCCTTCAGGTGTTAACACAGGCAGGTGAATCCAAATGAGTGAATCACTTAGACTCTGATAACTTCCCCTTTTACTGATGAATGTGATACAGCAGCTAGTCTTCTTCTTGTCTTCTTGTCACAATAAGTTTATGTACTCTGGTCCTGCATTGGTAAGTCTTTGTGATGTCTGTTCTTTATTTGCAGGTCCCATTATTATTATTATTATTGTTATTATTATTATGCGCCGCTTTCCCCCTTCTACTCCAGTAGGACTCAGATGAGGATGTTGCACTTTTCCTTGTTCATGTGATGTTTTGGTGTTGTTGTTTTTTTGTTTTGTTTCTTTCCGTTAAAGGTGGGGTAGGTAATTCACTTCAGAAACACTTGTTATATTCCATGGAATGCTCTTAACATCCCGATAGCAATGAATATATTAAATGCTTTGACAATAAATACATAAAAGAAAATGTCATCTTTGGAAGCCGTGGCGCTGTAAAAAGCACGACCAATCATCTGAGCCGGCCCGGCTAAAATAACTGGATGGCCTACCTGCCTGTCAGCCTTCCATCGGGGCACAAACTTATCTCGTGCCCTCATTGGTCATGTGCGCGTTCGTGTGTGTTGGAGGAGGGGCTCTGTAAGGAAGTCTGAAGGAAGAGGCAGATTTTTTCCGGTTGTGTACTTTCAAATTCTAGCGCACTCGAGCTGGTTTCTCCATTCTTACCTACCCTACCTTTAACTGTCAAGTGGGAACTAAGTATTTTTTTGTATGTTTTTGTGTTTCTCTTATTTTCCTACGATACTGTTATGATTGGCTGTGAATAAGAAAATATGAAGGACAGACCATCTATTTCTATTTATTTTATTTTTTTTTGAGAAAGGGGCAGGTAATATAAGATTATGTTCTCCTCCCTGCTCCTTTTCGGGTATGGTGTGTTAATAGAGACATGTTTTGTAAATAATTGTTATACATTAAGTTGTGCATACCATGAACGGAACAATTAAAAATGAAATGAAGATAATAAAATAAACATTAAAAGACAAAATACATGATAAAAGTTGCAGTTAAGATTTGAATAGTTCAATTAAAAGCAGCGGCAAAAATAAAAGTCTTCTGCCTGGATTTAAAAGTAGTAAGAGTTGCACTGGACCTGCAGGTTTCTGGGAGTTTGTTCCAGATATTTGGAGCATAATAACTGAACGCTGCTTCTCCATGTTTAGTTCTGACTAGGGGACAGAAAGTTGACCAGGTACAGAAGACCTGAGAGATCTGGATGGTTCAGAAATGTATTTTGGGCCTAAACCAACTGTACGTGTCGTTCCATGTCCAGGTGGTGTCTGTGGAGCTGAGCGGTCGGGGGGGTCGCAGGCTCAGCAGACGGTTGGCTCTGAACCGTCTGCAGGACGTGGCGCTCTGCTGGTGGGACTCGGTCGAGCCCAATGAGGAGCTGTGGCCCTGGACCCCGACAAACACACACAGGAACAACCTGGTCCTGCTCAGCTGCTCGCCTGCTGAAGGCCTCAAGGTACATTCACACACATGCTTAAAAAGAGCGAGGAAAACGTTGCCAGGTAAGGTTAGAAACTTTGTGTACACATGGGGTGGTTGTACAGGTCAAACAAACCCCAGAGATCCACCCAGGAGATCGCTGTTTCTGTCCCAAGTGAAACCGAAATTCAATGTTGACTCATTTAAGGTTATGTTAAAAAGGACCTATGATACTTTTTGGGGTTTTCCCCATCCTGTAGTGTGTTTTATACACAGCCACAAAATACAAATATGAACCTGAAAATGATGGTAATAGGGCCCCTTTAATTACTTAACTCAAGTGAGAAGATGGTGGATTGCTCCTTTGGGAGCGAGATACTGATCCTAAAGGAAGTATTTTAAGTCACAGTGATGAAGGGAAGAAGAATCTGAGACTGACGGGAAAGCTCTCCATATACAGGTCAATCTTCAGTATATTTTAAAACCGCAGGATAGTTAAAGCTTTCTTTTTTTTGTAATTCAATTTTTTTTATTGGATTTTAAGCACAAACATTCAACATCATATACAGACTCAGAGAAAAAACAAACAGTACCAAAGAAATAATAAAAATAAAAACATAAAAACAGGCAGGTAAAAACAGGCATTGACAAGTATCCATACATCAAAGTAAAGCATCCAGTCATAGCAGCGCACATAGTGCATGATATTGTGAGTGTCCCACATCCACTTATTACTGTCTTCACACGGTTCCACCTTCCCCAGACATGTATCTACTGAAACTATCCCATTGTTCATTAGCCATGCCACTTTGAACATTCAACCTTCCCAGCATCTTTTCACATGCAGCAGTCTCCATCATTTGAACCCTCCACATATTCAGTGTAGGAGTTTGGGGATCCTTCCAACATCTTAAAATGATCCGTGCACACGTTATTAGGCCAGTCTTTAACACTCTAAATACACATTTATTCAGATGCGGGGTCACCGTCCTGTCTCCAAGGAGACAAAGTCTTGGCGAAGTGGGAATATCACATTTCAACCATTTTCCCATAGAGTCCAGAACACTCCTCCACAAGGGACAAACCTTCGAACATTCCCAAAATGCATGCATATACGTGCCACGTTCTTCCCCACATTTCCAACATAAATCATCCTTAATCAGGCCCATTCTGTTAAAGCTTTCTTTGACCTTTTCAGGACTCTTTGAAGCCTTAAACTCAGTAAACACACCATAACTCCAGCTGTTTCTTTTTTACACACTCTAAGTTACTCACACACACACACACATACACACACACACACACACACACACACACACACACACACAGAAAGGACACATAGTGAACAAAGCTGCTGTTTGGAGTGGAGGCCTGTGTTGTGGTGGATGGGATTGGGGACGGTGTGTTAGTCACCTCTAGGGTGGCACCTCTGTGTTGCACCTCCATGCATCACCATGTGAAATACACCGGAGAAGCTAAGCTGTGGTTCAGCGTGAAGGAGAACGCCTACACTTCCACACACTCACACGCTTTACACACACATCCTCATGGCCTCTGGCAAAACCCTACCCGTGACCTGATTCTGTGTCAACGTAGGGTTGTCTTCGTGCCAAAAGCACATGAAAGATCCTAAATTACCGAACTGAGCTTAACTCTACTCCTCATGCTGTGTATCGGTAAGCGTATGCAAAATATTTCACTACAACAGAGAGAGAAGGGAGATGAGCGTTACCAATTGCATGCTAGGAAAACAAATTCACGCAGCAGAATGAGGGAGGGAGGCACATGAATATTGAAATAAGCAAAGCAGATGCTGTTTGCTGCTTTTACCGCTTCTTGTTTTTGGAACGCTCTTCACATTTATCTACACTCCTTCACCTAGTTTATTCTCACTGTCTCCTTCAACCCCCCACATCCTCCTCTCCTCCTTCCTTCCTCCACGCTTCAAGAACATTAAAGTGTCTTCGTGGGGCTGCGGCATCGCGCTCTAATGAAAGCGTTTGTTGTCATTTTTCAGATGCGCGGTGTGAAATTAAGCGAACAGTTTATGTAAGAGCCGTGGCGGGAATCAAACGTCGGGCACACATCGGGAGACGCCAGCTACTTCAATCACTTCAAGCTCATATATATGTTCCTTTTGTTCAGTACGCTATCTGCCGCACTAAGCCAATTTTCTAGCCAGTCTCTCGGCATTTATAAAAGTCTGATTTCTTTCCCTATGTGGTCTTAATTCGTATGCCCCCCCCCCCTCCTCATGCTGATAAGTGGAGCCACGGCATGCAGGGGGAAGCAGAGAAAAACACATACATAGTTTGATTTAATGCATTCAGTTAACATTTTAATTATCCTTCCTTCATGCTTCCCTCCCTACACCACCCCCCCCCCCCCCTAAACACAAACATACACACAAACAAACCATTTAATAATCTTAATAAAAGGATGTTTTCCTCCTTTTTTAGTCATATCTGTGTCTATGTTTGTGAACATTTTAAAGCGTATGACTATCCTGTTATCTGTCACCAAACAGTTTCCCTGCCGTTGTTTGATCTGCATTTCTCTGATTTCTGTTGTCTTTTAATTATTAGCTCTGTGCTGCATGGGTATTTTCTTTGGCTAAACAAGAAAACCAAAACAGATTGTCCATTACAAGACAACCTTGACTGAAATAACTCGTAAAGAAGGAATACATAATTGAATAAGTCAATCTATACTTCATCTGATCCATAACAGTACAATTAAGACTGTATTTGAAAGCTACATTTACAACTTTAAATTGGGTAATTTTGCCTCGGAAAGTTAAAGCTGCAATTTTTAAGAAGCCCTATTATGCCTTTTGGGGTTTTCCCTTTCCTGTAGTGTGTTATTTAGGTTTTAGTGCATGTAAACGGTCTGCAAAGGGTAGAATCCCTGTGTTCCCTTCAGAAGGAGTTTCTATCCCTCTCCCTGCCTGAAACGCCTCCATTGGACCCGTTTACTTTCGCGACATATGACATCACTATGTAACACTCACGCTTCTATTGGCTAGCGCTCCAACACACTGTACATCAGGGGTGTCAAACTCAAGGCCCGGGGGCCAAATCCGGCCCACGACTTCATTTTATGTGGCCCACAAGAGCTCTGAAAGAATATAATATGTTTATTATGCGGTTACATGGCGATTTACAGAAGCACGTTGCCCATAAACTACATGTCCCACAATGCATCTCAATTTTTTTTAATTTAATGTCACTTTGTTTTCAAAATGTCACCCTTTTTTTTTTTTTAACCTCATTTTGTGACATTCTCACTGAAGAGACTTCTAATTATTTACCCTAGACTTCTGCTTTCAGACGTAGTTAATTATGAAGTTATTACCCTATCAGATAATAATCCAATGCAGAGGCAATAATGTAATATAATGCATTATTTTATATATATTAAATATTTATATATGTATTTTGATATAGTCTCAAAGTTACAACCGGCCCTTTGAGTGCAACCATACATCCTACGTGGCCCGTGATGAAGTTGAGTTTGACACCCCTGCTGTACAGTACATGATAGCTAAGACAGATAGGTTGATTGGCTAAGGGGCGGGACATCTCTAAGCGGTCAACCAATCACAATGGAGCCGGCCCTCAGAGCAGACTGGGCTCTGGTTTCAGACAGAGGGTATGAGAGGCAGCATAGAAAAATGTTGAGCGTTAAAGCATGGAAACTTGTCACAGTAGAGAAACAAATTACAAATATGAACCTATACATTTGCACAATACGTCCTTTTTAACGTGCAGAATTGAAGCATGTACAGTAAAAAGCACTTTTTTTTAGCAATGCACTTCAATCAAACAGTAAAGTGGACCATGAAAAGTTCAGTGTGGAACGCAAAGTGCAGAATTACCCCCAAGCTGCACTGCTTCCACTGCTTAAGGTCGAGTGAATTACGTTCCCTCTGTTCTACAATTATGTTCAGAGGCGCCAATTATGGCAGTTTAGGTGTGAGGAACATTTTGCATCGTAATCCTGCTGTATCTGGGCATTCTCTCACATCAGTACCTCAACACTAACCCTAATTCACACACCTCAAACTTCTCAGCCGCCCCCTCCTCCTCCTCCTCCCTCATACAGCCCTCATCCCTTCATCCCTCCACTCTCCTCCGAGTCCCTCTGCCCGTCTTTCTCTGCTCCGTGAGCTGGAAAATTGGCTTCAAAAGGCCACTGCTGTGAACAAGGGCCAGCCACACAGTTGGGCCCGTCCGCTTTATCTTTCACGCCACGGAGGGGGAAAGAAAGGTGCCGGCGAGAGAGAGACAAGAAGAATGGAGAAGAATAGTTTTGACCAGTCACTGAAACCAATAACCAGGAGAAAGCTACTTACTAGAGGCCTCTCTCTCACTGTCTGTCTCCCACTCTCTTTGCATCTTTCTCTCCATGTCCCACCCTCTTTTCCCCTCTCTGAACTCACTTTATTCTCTCTCTTTCTCGTCGTCTTTTGTGCATATTTCTGTCTGTCTGTCTCCCTCTTTTTCTGTCTCTTTTGCACATCCTTTCACTCACTTGCTCTTTCTTAACCTTATTCATCATTTTTCTATTTTATGCTCTCAGAACCGGGGAATACAGTACAATAACTTGCCACAAAATACTCTGGAGGGTTCACAGGCAAACAAAGCTTTTTCTGAATATATTTAAATGGCACATGAATAGTGTATTTCAGAAGTCCTTTCTCCACTCTTAGTTTAAAGACTGGCTGTTGTTTTGACTTCCAAAGTGTATTTGTATTATACATATTTCATTTAGCAGTATGTAATACAGGGCTGTACAATTGTTGCTTTCAGACAGTTTTGTGATATCAATGCCAAGAAAACTGTCTACTGTCCACGCTTTTTTAGGGGAACATTTATATTCAACGTTTGTAGCAGAGTTCTTATAATATTCAGCTGCATTTAAAGGTTTATGTCATCATTCGCAAATTATCATGTCTCGTCATGCTTACAGTGGCATGAGTATTCGCAGTTTTTCTGAAAGAGTGAACCCCCACTTTGACCCTGAAAGTCTTGAGTGCAAATAATCTAATCTCCCAATCAGCTGTGTTGCCTTCAGGGGCCTTTTGCTTGCCTTTGCTCAGTACACATGAATGTGAACAGCATGGCTGTACAAATGACCCAGAGTCAAAATGCTGCTGCGCTCACTGTAATAAAATGTGGGATGCAGTTTTTGCTCTTAATGTCCTACTGTATGTAGCACATTTGAGACTTTGACTATCTTTTTCAAATATTGCACATTTATGAAACACTTAAAAATAACTCAAACTCAGTTCCTGGTCCAATAAAGCTCAAATCATGTAGGGCAGGGGTGTCAAACTCAAGGCCCGGGGGCCAAATCCGGCCCGCGACTTCATTTTATGTGGCCCCACAAGAGCTTGCAAAGAATATAATATGTTTATTATACGGTTACATGCCGATTTACAGAAGCACGTTGCCCATAAACTACATGTCCCACAATGCATCTCAAATGTGACTTTTTCTCAGAATTTGACTTTTTTTGTCCAAATATGTCTTTTTTTCTTAGAATTAGCCTTTTTCTCATAAATAGATTTTTTTTTCAAAATGTTACTTTTTTTTCAAAATGTCACAATCAATGTTTTTCCAGAATTTGGCTTTTCTTTTTAAATCATTTTGTGACATTCTTACTGAAGAGACTTGCAATTATTTACGCTAGACTTCTGCTTTCAGACGTAGTTAATTACCCTATCCGATAATAATCCAATGCAGAGGCAATAATGTAATATAATACATTAGTTTATATATATTCAATATTTATATATGTCTTTTTATATAGTCTTAAAGTTACAACCGGCCCTTTTGAGTGCAACCATAATGCTGATGTGGCCCGTGATGACATTGAGTTTGACTCCCCTGATGACCACTGTCCGCGAAGCCAGAGTAAAAGGGCTGTTATATATGCCTTTATGAAATATTGACTAGAGATTAAGGAGCTCCTTATTGGGTAATAAAATGCCACCTTTAATCGGCTGCATAATGAACTGCATCTTCAAACATCCAAGTAACATCAAGGAATAATAAATCAATGCATACATTTTTGAGGCCCTGCAAAGCTAGAAAATGCTTTTATCGATCGTGGTGTGAAAAAAATCAGACAGTTAAATATCAATATTAACTGTCAAATGGAGCAAATACCCAAATGTGATGAAGACTGTGATATGAATTGGCAGTAAATTAAATTAGAGTTGTGGACAGGGGTGTGAGGAATCATTCTCCATCATCACATATGTTTAAAATACACGCTGTTGCAGGTTGAATGAGGCCATGCAGTACTTCCTCTTCACTGCTCTTTAGCCGACTCTCTCCCCCTTCTTGTTTCCTCACCTCTTGGGGGAGGCAGAGCTGAATCAGCTGCACCTCATCCCCGATGGTGCCACGGTGGCATGCTGGCACAGCAGGCGGGCACCAGCAGCCGGGCACAGGATGAAAAGCTGAGAGGATGAGATGTGTTGGGGGGGGGGGGGGGGTCAGGGTTTGTTGAACGGAAGTAGGTTTTGTGATTCTCGAAGCATCCACCTACGCATTTGTGTGCAAGTTTGTGAAATGCTTGTGTTACTTTGTCCCTGGAGAAATGTAGCCCTACCCTCCCCATAGGATACCCTAACCCTTACTGAAATAACTTTTAAACGTAATATTGTTGCTTTCAACTAACTTAATACAGTTATGTGAAATCTCTTGACATAATACATTTAATTAGAGTCAACGTTTCATTTTTTTCAGTGTGAATTGAGCCCCTCATTCCTGCTGCCACAAATAAAAACACACACACACTCACATGCACCCGCACACATACACACACACACACACACACGCATGCACGCACGCGCACGCACGCACACACGCACACACACACACACACACACACACACACAGGCACGCACGCACGCACACACGCACGCACACGCACACACACACACACACACACACACACACACACACACACACACACAGCACCCACCCCCTGGGGAGCAGCAGGAGCTATAGCTCTGGGGGATTATGGAGTGGGAAAAAAAAGCTTTCAGGAGGACAGTCATCTGCTTCTCTCCTGCTGTAGACCACAGGCAGGCAAAAAAACAAACAACTTCCTCAATCTAAGTCCCTTTTTGCCAATGCCTGCCAAAAAAACTGGACCGGGCAGCTTTGCGAGAGAAGAGGAAGACAGGCATCCTTCTTTCTGTCTACACGGCGAAAAGAAATGGGCTCATTTAGCCAAAGCTGCCACGGTCAATGCAGGGTTTTGATAGAGGCTTCGGTTAGGTGAAATCCCTCCTATAACGCTCTGTTAGTGACTGTGGAAATGTTGGCTGATGTCTCCTGTCACACACCTACAGTTGATGGTTCCTTGTGGGTGTTTTATCAACACTACCACCCGTGACACGGCTTTACTCCATCAGTGTCAATGCTTGCTGGCTTAGCCATTGTGTCCGAATAATCTGAATTCTGGTCTAAAAATCCAGAGCTTTCTTCATGTATCACTCTATTCATTTTGAAAAAGGACTTGTTTCTTGTCAGTCACCATGTTATTGTAGGTCTTGGCTCCTCACGCAGGTAAACAAAGCAGGTTGTTTATCGCTGGGTGCTGGGTGCCAGGCTGTGGTATGCTCAGGGAGAATATGTTGTTGACCTTGAGTTAAAATGAAGCTCTTATCATTAGTTGTCTTGATTGACAGCCGGGTGTTTATGAGCAAAGAGGAAGGCTCTTTTTCTTCCATCTCCGGGGGGGTTTGTGGCTGCCATGGTGTGACTCATTTCTCTGTCTTTCTCTCGCATGTTTTCCAAACTATTCCTTTCTTTTGCTTGTTTATCAACCGTACTGGCACAAGTCAGAATCTTCCATTTCCTAAAATTGTGAAAACAACAAAAAATATTGGATTGTCAAGATTCAGTTGTGTTTCTTACACAATGTTTAGAGACACTTAACTACTAAGGACATACAATAAAACAAATTCTAAACTTTAGACTTTAAGTGTTAGAAATTGCAGGAACTATTCTTCCCTCTGTTATGTAGTTAAAATGTTACAGATACATCAAGTAAAACACATGCAGGTGTTTCCTTGATAACTATGCTATAGTTACACTTATTGGTAACTTGTTTTATTGCATCAGAAAAATGTCAGCCCCTAAATCTAAAGTGTGCAAACATGTTAGATGCTAACATGCTCAAGTAAAGCAGGTAAACTACACTAAACATTTGCCACTAAACACTATAAACAAAGTATTGGACAAATTGAAATCTTCATTGGAGGGTGGCACTTGGATGACATGAATGTAAGAAACTAATTGTATGGCTATCTATGAAATACTTATCCATATATTTCAGTTACAAAACAGCCAATAGGATTTTAAGTTCAACTTGTGGATGTTTTTTAAGCTAAACAATTATATGACTAACAACTTCGGATTGCATTGCCTGAAACATTTTGGTACTGAACGAAAGTTTGCAAATATTTGATTCTTCATTGTCATATTAGATCACATTTATAGGAAGGTGTGCATCAGTTGAAGCCTTATTGAAACGTATTCCTCTTCTCCCTCTGAAGGTGCTCGGCTCTCTCCAGTCTGAAGGAAACCCTCTGGATTGCTGCTTCAGCCTCCTCCAGCCCTACCAGCTGCTCACAGTGGAGCTTCCAGGATCCAGAGAGGGTTTCTGGGCCGACAGCTGTGTGTACGAGTGCTCTCGAGGCCGCCTGCACCGCCTCTCTTCCACCCACATCCCTCTAACATCGCGCCCTGTCTCCTGCTCACGACACCCCTCTGAGAGCTCTCTTCTCCTGGGTCTCAGTGACTCCTCCTTGGTGCTGTTTGACCAGCGACGGGGGGTCTCTCTCCTGGCCTCCTGCCCCGTACCCCCCACCCTCCTCGCCTGGCACCCTGCTGGGGCCGTGGTGGTGGTGGGGGGAGAGCAGGGAGAGCTGATGTGCTTTGATGTGGGCTTGGCACCTGTAAGGATGGCGCTGGTAGCGGAGGATGAGGCTCCAGCGGAAACGCTAAGACTCGCCGACCACCTGCGGAGTTGCGGAGGACTGGAGGGGCTGCGGTGGGCTGCGGGCCTGGAGGCAGATGTGCTGATGTTGGCCTTTCATGGGGGACCATTGGCTGCCCTGAGATTCAGACTCGGTAGGTGGAATACGATTACAAATTAGAAATTGCAAAATAGGAAGTTGGAATTTTTGTGGAGTCTCTAAGAACTCACAAAACTCAATAAAATAGGCTTACGTTTCAACAAACTGATCAATTATTCAGTCAGAGATGTCAGAACGCATCAATGCTAAGACCCGTATCCTTAATGTGGTTTCTTCAGATCACTTGTTTGGGACCATTGGCTGCCCTGAGATTCAGACTCGGTAGGTGGAATACGATTTAGAAATGAGAAATGGCAAAAAACAAAGTTGGATTTTTTTTTGCGGAGCAGAAACTCTAAGAACTCAAAAAACTCAACATCGAATTACTTTTCAATTAACTGATCAACGATATCCGAACGCATCAATGCTAAGACCCATATCCTAATGCGGTTTCTTCAGATCACTTGTGGCAATGATATCTAACCAAGAAGAACTCAAAATGCCATATAATGTTCCATCCATCGACTAATTGAGTAATTGCCTGATCATCTCAGAAGTCTTCCATAGGGATTTATGCACACTAACAACTATTTAATTGCTTTTACACAAATCAGTATTTCACACAGCAGGCTCTACTCCAGTTTGAGCTTAAAAATATATTTGTATGTAAATTCGTGATCCTCTGAAAGTAAGACATGAACTAGCTTTTAATAATTCTGTCTTAGAGTGATGCAGTTATAGTTTCATGTAACTAAACAGGTGCGTCTGGAAACACGACTCAGCTCATCGTTAACCACATTGTACATTTATATAATCTGTATATTTAATATTTAATATTAATATTCCATCCGTCATATATTTATGTATATATCCTCCTGGGAACCGAGGAAAAAAAATGTTTTCCAATCTTCTTTATTTTTTATTTCCTACTTATTTAGGGTTAAAAAAACATCTTGCAATTTAGACTTTTTAATTTAATTTGATTTTTAAATGTTACAGTATGTCCACTGTAGAGGACGTCAGGACCATTTTAGTTTGAAACCTAAAGTAACTACCCCTCATTTTTACCTTTATATTTGACGCAACCTTATGTGATTACAAATAGAATATAATGTGCAAACCTCCCCCCCCCCCTTCAGAGGCTCTCCCTGTGTCGTGGGTCTGCCTCAGTATCTGAACCCCTCTGTGTAACAATGGCGGCTGAACGGGGTCGTACTCTTACCTCTTCACTGCTGAGGGAAGTTAATTTGTCGACGGGCGGGAAGGTTAGCAGGAGTCACGCTCTCAGAGGTCATTCAATAATCGCCCCGGGGCAAGAGCCCCCCAGGTGCATTCTGGGATGCATTTTTCCGATAAATCGTTTACAGTGGCTGCGCAGTCCCTCGGGGCCCCCAGATAAAGTTTGCCAATCAAAATGTTTCCAAAGCAGCCACCTCACCCTCCAACACACGCATTCACAAACACACTCATACATACACACATTCAGCTTCTTTAATTGTGACTTTGGAAAGAAGATGTGACAGTAGCTCTCCGCCGAAGTTTGAAAGCAGGAGTGAGGGGGTGGATGGAGGAAGGTAGAAGATTGTGTGTGTGTGTAAGTGTGTGTGTGTGTTTAACTGTGTGTATCCAACTGCGTTTGCCTGTGTGCACAGGGAAAGAGGAGGGTGTCTTCCAACAATAGCTTCCCCTCCTCTGATCGTCTGCCAAGGTTTTGATGAAGAAAGTCACTGCACGTCTTTTCTCCATGATAATTCTTCCCCCCACACTAACACGTGTGTGTGTATTATTCTATTTCTGTGCTTCTATGCACACACACACACACGCACGCACGCACACACACACACTCCAACTCATTGTTTGTTTGCTTGCGCTCCTTCTCTGTATTGACTTGTTTCATAAGGCCCGCTACATGACAGAATGAGTGAGTCGGGAGACGGCGAGGAAGAAAGACTTGGCTGAGCTCCAAGTTCCTTTTTTCCATAGGAGGCAGCCCTCCCTGGTGCCCCCCCCACCCCCCACCCCCCTGCCTGCACCCAGTTATCTCATCTGGGCACACGTTGGCCACGGCTGGGCTGCACCGGCACAGGCTGAGGAAGGGCAGACCAGGAAATGTGCTGAACGAGGACAATAGTCGTTTTTTTTTTTGTAGGGACGTGAAATATTGAAATAGGAATAATTACATAACCTGGTATACAACTAGTAAAGAAAATGAGAGGGTTAGAATCAGAGTCTATGTGACGGACATTCAGGTAACATAAATACGGTTTCTTTTTTCAAATGCACAGCTTGCTAAACTTGATTAGTAAAGCACTTCAAGTCTATCACAACAATTTGAGTTAAAACTGACCAGGGTTCAATCGACTATTTTGGCATCTTTTAATTAAATAATCAACTAGTTTCCTCTCTTATTTCTAGATATTCTGATTTATAAAAAGAAAGGATACTAAATGTCTACAGTATAACAGTTTTAATGGCTGATTTCTTCTTATTTAAGGTCGACTTTAATGCTCAGCTTTCATTATTATACTTTGAGTTGAACTATTTGTCAGCAGTTTGTCTCTGAAGTGTACTTGTCATGTTGACGGTGCTCAGTAGGGTTTGTTTGTGCTGCTGCTCTGTGTTGTTGTGGGTCTGACAGTCTGACGCTGATCAAATAAGTCCGTGTAGACAGGTGTGGGAAAGAACTGACTTATCCTCGCCTCCACAATGATCCATTGTCTCTCTTAGAGTTAGCTTAGAGCAGACGTTAACGCCCAACTGAAAGACCACTACACACACACACACACACACACGTAAAAGTAGACACACAATCCGCACTACGCTCAGCTGATGTATTAGCCACATTAGCCCACTCTTAAGGGGATTTGGGGGCTTGCTAATTGCCAGCTTGTGATTTTAATTGCTCAAACACCCTCCCTCCACACACACACACACACACACACACACACACACACACACACACACACACCACACACACACACACACACACACCACACACCACACACACACACACACACACACACACACACACACACACACACACACACACACAACTTCTTCAATTAATTAGACAGAGTCAGCGGTGACTTTGCCTGCCTGCAGCCTGGCCCGATGATGTAAACCAAACATATTCGAATTATTTGTAACAAAATACTCCAGTTATTATTTTTTCTCCTGTAGTCTCACATCAGACTAAGCTAGTCCACTAATTTTGGATATATCCGGTTAAGATAAGTACATTATAAGTTGCAAAAAAGGTAGAACGTTTTTGTAAAAAAGACTGTTCTGGTACTAGACCTTTTGATTTAGTACAAGTACAACATTTGTATACAAGCTTGATAGTGTGCAGGAGGTTATTTACAACTTTTGAACTATTCCTCCCTTTCTGATGCACCTGTGTCATGAAATAGATGTGAGTTGATTTTTTGGTTTGTTTAAAGTACCTTGTAAGAGCTCGAACTCTCATTAGCGACACACGGCCTGACATAAGCCAAACTACAGCGAGGTGAGGTAAAACGTTACATGACTCGTTTATGGCAACATGCATTTGAGTTTTGTGGTTTCATTTTACTATAAGTACCGTAAGCACAATGGACATTAATCACCTCGGATATTCAACACTGTCTCTTCCCGTATGTGTGCTCTATAGAGCACACATATGGTTCTGTGTGTAACCTTTTACACCACAGAACGAGACACCCTTACTGCCGGGAAGGGTATAAAAACCTCATCCCTTTCATTATTAGCCAGTCCTAATGTACACACACACACACACCACACACAAACACCACACACAAACAAAGCATAATCAATCGCCTCTGGTTTAAAAGGCAAAATCAGTTGTTGCATTCATCTCATACATACGTATGCTCGATGTTTTTGTGTTGAATTTAAATAGATTGGACACACACAAACACACACACACACACACACACAGGATTAAACAGACTTCCCGCCTAATTGATTGACAGGTCGATGTCAGTCTAACCGATCTAGTGCAGCTTCAGAGTTTCGACCGATGCGCCGGACACTTACTTAGCTTAAGTAGGTGCTCCGAGTTATTCTACAGGATTATTGCACCATACAATATTCAGGCTTAGGAAAAACTGCTTCTCCTTGTTTACAGACATTAGTTCAGTTGTTGTTTAAGAAGCTGCTTTTTTTGCACACTCAACTATTGGAAATAGGGATGAAGTTTACTTTGACAGTGTACATTGTGTGAATATAAAAAAATATCGACAACATCCTTTTTTTTTTAAATATATATGTTCTTTGTTTTGCTCATGTTCTAATAAACTAAAATCAATCTCACTGGATGTTCTAGGAGCCCTGACTGGAGGCCTGGTGGGCCTCGGGGAGATGCTGCAGCAGCGGCTGCGCTGTGGGCAAGTCAGAGAGGCGCTGGGCGTCCTGGAGGCCATGGACTGGAGCATCATGGGAGACGAGTGCCATCGAGGGCTGAGCTCCATCACCAACCACCTGCTGAGGCTGGAGCTGAACGCAGAGAGAGAGGGTGGGCAGACAGGTTTTTGGTTTTTAATTTAGTTTACATCCTACCTTTAGAGGCAGTAACTCCAAAGAACATTGGGTTTATTTAAATGTTTCTCGCTATACAACACTTAACTGACATTAGTACGATTAAATACAATGTTTCAAGCTTATCACAGTTTATACTACGGTATAGAGTGCCACAATGACGTGTCCTAAAACCCGGAAGTAAGTTAGCATTTTACCACTTCCGGTTCCTTTTTTTCAAATCATAAATCTATCGATTATATTTATGATTCGAAAATTTATAAAAGTAGGGTAGACGTGTGGAGATTATCCGGCTGAACAAAACGTGATCTGTCTCTTCAATGTGTGTCAACCACAGACCTTATTTCGAGCTATTTTCCAAAATCCTATGGAGAACTTGCATTGCTTTTTGTCGAAGGAACCGGAAAGAGTTTACTTCCGGGTTTTAGGACGCGTCACTGTGGCACTCTATTAGCTCGGCAGTATAGCATAAAGGTTTGCAGACTTTAAATTAGCCCGCTGACCTTCACAAACCATTTATATCTCAAGTAAATGAAAAACTATAATATTTTATAGGTATTCTACCTACACTTGCATTTCATTTTTTGTTTAAAATGTGCTGTTAATTAGAACATGTTAACATAGAAAGAGAGTTAGACTTCTATAGTGGCTCTATGTGTCTGTCTTTAAGGATCTCATTTACTGTTTAAGAAGAAGTTACTCAATATGTAGACCAGCAAAGGATTTAAAAGAGCCAGCTACAATCTCCCCAACATACCCTTTATATGCCATATCTGTGTAAACTGAAATGTTTTTATAATTTGTTTATAAAATACTTTATTTAAGACGTTTTTACTGTATTTTATTTCATAACTTGCCAACATTTTTTGCTGAAACAAATCCAATTAAACCCTATACGTTTTAAAGATTTTTTAAATGTATTTTCTGTCCCTTCCTTAGCCCTGCTAGAGGCCACTCTCGGGGTGTTTTACGCCCCCCCCGCCCCTCTCTCAGACGTGGTGATACTGGAGTTCAGGGAGCCCATCAGCAAGTGTGCCCGCCGCTTTTTTCACCACCTTCTCAGGTAACACCACCCACTCTGTGCTGCTGGGGTCCTCATGTGATCGTCTGATGGAGAAATTAGCTTTGCATAACTCTACAGGGGGAGGGGTCAAAGGTCAAGGTCGGGTCTATAAGAGCTTAGTGTATTTAAATTACATACATAAACATTAGCTGCTGCATATGTTCATGGCGTCTCTACATACACACATGTACAGACTATTTTCAAGGCATTAGCAGAATAATCAGAATAAGAAAATCGTCCAGAAAAGGGTCTTTGTGGGATTGTCATCCATCACAGATACAATTTAACACCGCCTATTTTGCCGCTCTGTTGCTATTTAAAAAATGCTAAAAAGGAACTAGCTTTTTGAATTTCCGTTGCAGGCACAGCTTTGAGTCATTCATAAGGCAAAAGCACCTCACATGCACTGTTTAGACTGTTGTTTCATTCTCCCTTCTGCCATGAGAGCCTTTTGAAACGGCTGTTTGACTGAAATAGACCCTGTTGTTCCCACACACTGCTCAGCGCTCTCCATCCTGCATCACCTCCCGTTCCCTCTCTCTCTCTTTCTTCTTCCTCTGTAAGCTCCAGCCTTGTTTGGCATCCCTCCTCCTCTCCTCTCTTATCACCTACCTGCAATTATTTTTCTCTCCATCAACATCAAGATGAAGAAAGCCCCCCCCCCCCTCCCCTCCTCTCTCTCTCTGTCTCTCTCTGTGTGTGTTTGTTTGTTTCATGTTGGCTCCAGACAGGGAAAGTTGAGGTGTTTTGTGCCGGGAGATACAGCGCTCGCTCCCTCCCTGCTTTAATTCTCAATAATAGCACGAGGACTCGCTACTCTCAGTTCAATATTGAGAGTTTTGTACGGAGAGGTGTGTGTGGATCGAAGTGTGTGTCTCTTATAAAGGTGGACATATGAACTACAGACCTATCTTTGAATAATAATTAAAAGCGTGTATTTTTTTCGATTGATGATAGTTCTTTATAGACAGGCTGTTGCTGTTTTTCTTGTTTAACAGTTTCTACTTTCTCTGCAGACACCAGCGCTTTGAGAAGGCCTTCCTCCTCGCTGTAGATTTAGAAGACAGAGATCTATTTATGGTGAGTGAAAAAGTAAATGTCTCTCTTACAAAGTGCAACACACACTTTTGACTAAATGTTGCTCCACTATGGGATGTTTTTTGAAGTCAATCCATTCAGTCATTTGTCAACACAAAGCTTTTATATAATCAAACAAAAATGTGACTGATTTCAATACACATCTTACAGGGTTCTTACGGTCATTTAAAAACCTGGAAAAGTCATGGAAATTCAAAATGCTAATTCCAGGCCCTGGAAAAGTTATGGAAAACAATATATTTCCCAAAGTCATGGAAATGTAACTAAAGTTGCATCAAATATAATTTATATTTTATCTAAACGCCGAAATAGTAATACTATAATGATAATAAATACTGTATCGTATAGTAATGAAACGTAAAATGGCATTTAACTGACGAGGTATTTTGCTGGTGAGAGATTTTTAGTTTGCTTTAGCGTGTAGAAGCTAGTAAGCCTACTATTTGATTTGTTTTAGATAGGACCAACATGTTTCATATGCAGACCTTATTTTCCTGTTCCATGTTAAAATAAACCATTTCAGTGGTACCGCTGAGAAAGAGTAATTTTTTTGGTCATGGAAAATTAGGTACAGTAAAGGTCATGGAGAAGTCATTGAAAATCATTGGTGAAAAAATGTATGAACCCTGATCTTAAACACTCACACAGGTGCTCAGCGAAAAGCAGGTAAAGGAGGGTACATATGCAAACTCCTCTGAAAAAAGTGCCCATGCATATTTTGTTGAAGATACTAAAATGTGAAATAATTTGTTTGCAAATATAGCCAGCAACTCACGACCAGAACTCTACTTAACCAGGAAATCGTTTACATTCATTGACAAATTATTCCCTTTATGGCATTTCTGCCTTGATTTGAGAGCTTGACTGTAATTATACACACAGCAAATGTTGGAAGAGAGAGAAGGATGTTGCATTTTAAAACTTTTTTAATTCTCTACGACCTTTTTTAACTGTTCATTGACTATTGTAGTCTTGTTACTTACATTTTCACATGACTTGTAACCCGTGTGTGTGTGTGTAAATGTGTGTGTGTGTCAGAGAGCAGGTGTGATCTCGCTATGGGCCCCTATCTTTTCACAACCTCCATGGCCTCGGCTCGGCCTTTTCCTCTCCTCTCCTCTTCCCTCTAACTCGCTCTTTCATCCACTCCACGCTGAAATGCTCTTTCTATGTGTTTGACCCCCTTTTTTCATGGGGCCCCCTTTTGCTCCATGCTTCACCAACACCCTAGACATTAATACAGACCCACACGCATGCACGCACACACACACACACACACACACACACACACACACACAGCCACACACACACAGAACACGACACACATACACACACACACACACACACACACACACACACACACACACACACACACACACACACAATCACATGCACACACACTTGCTTCCTCAATCACACTGATAGCACTGGTTCCAATTACCTCCCCACTAAGTAGTGCTGCTGGGAAGCCGAATTGAAAAGGTGGAGTCGAGCCTGTGGACCTTGAAAGAGCGCAAAGGAAAGGAGAGGAGGGGGCGGGGGGGTGCAAAGTGGAGAAGGAGGATGGTGTGGATGGAAAAGCTATATGACAAAAAAAAAAAGGTGAGAGGGAAGCGAAACAGGTCTTGCTCCGTCACTTTGGAGGTGTCGAGATAAGTGAGGGGGGAAACAGGAGATGGAGCTGGAATCGTATCTGCAAATAATTCGTAGCATTGGGTTTGAAATACTTTCCAACCTGATATGTCAACAAAGTATTACCTTCCTAAAAAAATGTCCTTTCACAGTAAATATTCCCACACATACCGTTCGTTTATATACATGTACTATATTTACATTAGCTTGTCAAAAATCCTTGTCGGTGTCAGGACACATTTGTTCATATAGATTTTAGATATAATAATAGGAGAAGAATGACATTTCAGGGACTATTGTAAAACTCACATTCACATTGGTTTTACCATCAAGTTGGACATGAAGATCTAGTGACTAATGTGAAACGTTCCCAGCTTTCATTAGGTCTGTGTCTGTAGCCAGTAAGAAAATGATCCTACAAATCATAGGCCACAATGTAAGGCACTATAAACAAATGGGGGGTCACCTCACAAGTAATCAGAGTAATTGTACAAATAAGGTGCAGTATTGGATCTTAAAACCTGATTTTGGAAAGTTAGTGTGTCGCTATCAAGTGGTTCATTTATTTAAAAAGGCACATTGCACAGTAATTAACACAAGCACTTTTGTGGAGCTAATTTTCATCTGCAGTCCCTGGCAGGTTGATGACATTAAAAGACAACATACAACAGCACATATCAAAGCCAATATGCATCATTAAAACAGACACAAAAGCAGATAAAAGCTAATAGACACAAGCAAAAAAAACGATCAACAAGGTGACATCTCTCCAAGTTCTTCTCACATGTTAAACTCATTTTACACCTCACATACAAACAAATGTAAAAGGCATAATAAGACAGCATTTGTAAACCCTTTAGTTTTGGCCATTATATAAAAACAACAGACTACTGCATATTAACTAATACTCCTCCTGACCCTCGATGTGTAACAAAGTTCACTCACAATGAGCGCTCAGTCAGCGACCAAGAGAGCAGCAGCGCGTCATCGGCAAAGAGCCACAAAGAGAAAAGAAAAACGGGACGTTGACATTTCACCCCTCGCTCTGTCCTCCGCTCTAATTAGGTTGTGTTGTTGCTTTAACCTGCTGGTCAGCTGATTGAGCGGAGGGTGGGGGGGGTTAATGAGGGCAACCCCCGCCTCCCACACAACTCTCTCTAACTTCCAAACGTGCCCACAGAACTCAATAACGCACCATCGACTTGATAAAACGCTCACACACACACACACACACAGATAACACACACCTCTTGTAGAAATGCCCAGCACGATACACCCCCCTCTATCACAAGACCCCCTGCCCTCAAGCCCCCATTGTTTCCTATCTAACAATAGAAGCCCTCCAAGCCTCCAAAAGAAGCCTTTTGTTCAAATGAAACACTTTAGTGTCGGGCTAAATTGAAGGGGAGGAGGAACAGTTGGTTGGGGGGTGTTTTGGGGGAGGCGGAGGTTGAGTTGGGGGATGTATGTGGAGGAAGTAGCAGGGGGTTATACTCAGTCATTTGCATGTTTTTTCCCATAATTGGCGCTGTTCTGTAGCGCCCTAATTAGCCTTTGATAATGAGTTGATAATGTAACCAATTAGGTCATTCGTCAGCCAAGTCAAGCCAAGTCTCCTCTTCTTCTTCCTGGGTCTTTTCCTCTTGATGTAGCTTGTTAATTAAATCAAATTGTGTGATAGCAGATTCTGCTTTTGTTCCCCAATGAGGGCTTGTACTGTTTCTTGTTAGATACGCTCACACTGGGTTCACTTCCTATCTTCCTCCCTATCTGACGCCGGGCTCGGAGGTATCGCACGTCTTCTGCAATAAGCTCATTGTTGTCGCTCAGATGAATAATTAACGTTATTAAAGCGTTAAGTCCTTAACACCTATCTGATAGAAGTGTTCAAACACAAGGCTCCTGGATAACAGGTGTGTCAGAAAACAAGTGTGTGTGTGTGTGTGTGTGTGTGTGTGTGTGTGTGTGTGTGTGTGTGTGTGTGTGTGTGTGTGTGTGTGTGTGTGTGTGTGTGTGTGTGTGTGTGTGTGTGTGTGTGTGTGTGTGTGTGTGTGTGTGTGTGTGTGTGTGTGTGTGTGTGTGTGTGTGGTGTGTGTGTGTGTGTGTGTGTGTGGTTGTGTGGTGTGTGTGTGTGTGTGTGTGTGTGCAGCTTCAGCATATGTGCTCATGTCCAGGGATTATGCCGAATGTTAATTAGTGAAAATGTATTTTCATGTTTGCGTGCTTGTGGATTTGTGTCCAGTCTAATTGCCAATATTTGATTTGACTGTGGGTTTTTGGGTAAAGGGAAATCCCCACCTAAACATTTTAGTACCTTTTTATTTTTTTGTACTTTGAATTGCTGGGACAAATGTCTTTAATGTATATATTTTATATATTAGGGTTGTGACATTTTACCATGTCCAGGGGGTTGCAATGAAGCCTTAAGTAATGTTTTATCATCAAAAGTATTTATCAAGATTCGACGTCAGTCCCTCAAAACCTAAATAAAGTCGACCTTTTGGTGCTGATATTTCACACTTACGCAAGAAGAAATACGTCCTGGAAGAAGTGCAGACAAGTCCACAATCACTCATTAACTAATCTTATCATTTAAGCCATTTGTAAAATGTTACCAAAGCAAAATCTCCGATCAATATACCGATGATATCAAAGATACAATTGCAGTATACAAAAAAGATGTGTACATTTTCGAAACTATTATAATTGCGGCCGTAACACTATTCCTCTCATTCCCTGCACTTCCACTTCTCTACACCAAATGTATCACATTGTTTACCATTCTCTATTAAATGTCTATCGTGTAAATACTATAAAAAGACAAATGATAGTAGAAAATAATTGCTCTAGGGATGCTTTTAACGATTCAAGTTAATCACGTGTTTCAGTCTGAAAATGAATTTCTCTTAAAAATGTAACATCATTTCCCACAACAGCATGCACATACGTGGAGTCTCTGCGTGGTTCATATGCTGCACTTTTGTTTCTCTAGACAATGAGCTGATACTTTTATCGCTCAATAATAATCTTCACTGAACGTTCACGTGTGTACGTCCCATCGATCCTGACAGCCTGCAAACATCCAGACATGATCCCGTCTATTAATGTGTCGTAAGCGCTGCTGTGTGCCAGTTGACCTAATCCCTCATTTATTTCCCAAATATCAGTCAATATCGGCCTCTTAGTGTCCCCCCCCCCCCCCCCCCCCCCCCCCTCGCCTCCACTCCCCAAAAATGGCCCACTAAAACGCCCCTCTTTATCAGGCGCTGCAACCCCTAAAGCTCTTATATAAATAAGATTAGTGTCGCGTTTGAGCGTCTGGGAATAAGAGGTGTAATATCTGATGGTTTTATATGCAGTATTATTGTTATCCCTTCTTAGTCGGGCTGATACTCCTCTCTCTCTCTCCCTCGTTTCTCGTTTGTTCATTCGTTTATTCTTTCTCTGGGTCCCTCTCTCCAGATTCAGACAGTATTATGAGGAGCTAAGCTGAAATAAAGCGCCCCGGCTTCAAATGTTCATATTGTTCTGTTCTGTCTGTCATCCTCTCTCTATCCCTGCTCTCCTTTTCTCTCCCCCCTTGTAGTCAATTCTGCCTTCTTCACGTCTTTTATGTCGTGTTTCTCTCTCTCTCTATCATATCAGCGTAATTCCTACTCTCCTGTTTTAATCTTCCGCTGCTCTGTTTGTTATCAATTAGGAAGCCTCACTCATATCTAATTGAGGGGCCATGTCCTCGTTCACAGAATTAGCCACCTCAGTCCTGGGAGCCGATTTAGCTTCTTTTGAGGCCATTTTGTTGTCGGCCATTTTCACATTTCCTCCTAACTCCTCGCCACAGAGGGCAGGCACCGCACTATAATTACCCAATCTGTTCCCATTCATACTCTTCAATTTCCGCACCTCTCTCATTCTCTTATCCTCCCCCCTCTTTCCCTCTCTGCTCCCCACCCTTTCCCTCCAGGGGTACAAAAGCAGGGTAACAATATGGGGGTATTAGGGCCGGGTGCAGGCCCAGCTGGGGGGGCTTTAGCCAGCTGAGGGTTATCCACAGCATCCCTGAGTCATGGCACTGATGTCCTGTGATGTTGCTGAGGCGGAAGACTTTCCTTAACACGCTGTACTCTTTGATGGGCCCTCAGCCCCTGCACTCAGCCTGAGGAAACCCCGCGACTCTGAGGAGCCCCTCGTTGGGAGCCGGGATAAGGGTGTGATTCTCTCTGTTTAATCAATTAGGGACGGTTGGAGAAAATCTGTCGTTTTATCTTCTTTTTTGAATTTAAAATGGTGCTTCAGTGTTTCTTTTCCTTACAATGTAAAGTTTGTATTATATGTATTATTATATGTCTTTATTGAACAAGGACTTGCAGAAATGGCAATGCAATGAGCTCCTCCAACAATGCAACATATATAACAAATTACAAAAATACAAAATAAAAAGTAGTGCAAAAAGTCTATATACATGTCAGTAGAATATGGGATATGTACAAGAACAGAATATGAAATTAAATAATGTACATTAATCTCAAATAGAGATGCTATGCTACATTATAGCTAAAAGCTCATTCCAATCTGCAGGTCTGGACAGGTACACACTTACAATCAACAAACATTACAAATATTTCCTAGTGCCCTATTCAGTATATTTTGCGCCTTCACAAGCATTTGGTTTCCTCTCAAAGGCTACTGGGAGCTGACCAGTCCGTTTTCAGCTGTTGCTGCTGGTTATCGACGGGCTCCACTGCAGCAGCCGGGGGCAACATGCTGATTTTTGTTAAGGGTGTGTTTTTTCATTTACTTCACAGCTGATCTTGGGGATTTAAATCAGTGACCTTTCTGACACCAGACCAAATGTTATACCGTCATGCTGCTGCTGCTCCAGTTTCTCACACTGACAGCGATCTGTGGTCATCGGTCAGTCCTGGTTTCATATCAGGATATCATTTTATTTATTTTTGGGAACCTCAGTTACAGAATAAAAAACAACTGGTCTTAAATACTATTTTACATCAATTGAAGAGCCATAGTTTTGCTTCCCCCTCTTCCCCCCCCCCCCCCCCCCCCCTGTTTGGCATCCAAAATTCAAACACACCATAGGGATATGATCTGTTTAAACTAAACCACTTCGACCATTATAACACATATTATTATGTATTGCTTTGATAGATATTAGTATATTGTATCTTGTAGACATGTAATTGAAAAGCTTGTCTATTTCCTTTGTGTATTGCATTGTGGGAGAATAATGCTCAAAAATAATGTTTAACATGTTAACTTATATCAAGAAGTTTTTTATTTTGTAAGCACACTACGTTCTTTTAAATCTGCTTAGAAATCATACGGATTCAGGAGGCGGTGAATGTCTCTTAAGATTTGAGTTCGAGAATTCATTCCTTTTTTTTCTGGGATTTTAATAGACACATTGACCTTACCCTTGCTTGTAGCCCAGAGCACCTTTGTTAAAAACAGCTGTGTGATGCAGTGTGGATATTAATGTGGCAGCGTTGAGCTTTAAATCATCCACCCTCAGACATCATTTAGCATTATTATCTCTCTTTATGGCCCTGACAGACTCAAACAGAGAGATACAGAGGAGACACGCTGTTTCCAATATTGTCGGAGGCTGATATAGTAATGTGCTCGGCTGGATATGTTTCTGTGTAAAGAGAGAATACCAGCGTCTCTGAAAGGTGAACAGTCCCTCGCCTCCTCTCCCACTTTTGAAATGTGACAGATAAAGATCCTCCCTAGTTCAAAAGAGAGAGACGAGGGTTATGAGGGGGGAGGGAGGGCTGATTTCAAAGTTTTTGGAGAATCCGGCATTTCATCCAACCGGTGCTCTTTCTGATGTCGGGCTTTTCAAACGGCTTTCTTCTTCTGTCATTTCATTGTTTCCTCTTTCTCCCGCCAAAACACCCCCTCCCCACCAACCCTAACCCTCCAACAAAAAAAAAAGAAGCTATTGTCATCGGAGCCTAGATTCATTTTAGATTAACGCTCACGTTTCTTTCTTTCTTGCATTTCCCTTCAAAGGACCTCCATTATGTTGCCAGCGATAAAGGCGAGGTGGTGCTCGCGGATGTGGCCAAGAGGAAGGCTAATGAAATCGACAGCGCAGCAGGCAACGGTAAGAAGATAATCATAATGTCCGACCAAGAAGACGCCAAATGTGACTCGTTATTTCTCCTTACATCTGGAATGAGAGGTGGACTCCTCTGATAACCCCGGTTACTCACCTACGCCGACACATATGTCAGATATTTAATAACATTTTTATTCTCAGGATCGCACCCTTGTTTTATAACACAAAGGAGAATGTATTCAGATCATGTTTGACAGAGGTATATTCGTGTGTAATTCATACAACATGTTGCCTTCTTTTAAAGATGATATCAGTGATGATTAAAAATGAGATACTGAACGTTTTTTCATTGCATTGTTTGTTAAAGTGTAAAAACTCACCTTTAAGAAATCATCTATAGCAGATTGATGTTTCCACATTAAGGTTCCTCATGTTTTTAAAGGTTTTTCCCCCCAAATTGCAGGGTGGTTGTGAGAAATAAAGTCTTTAATATCAGACAAATAAAATACTTTACACATGCCCAAAGTTTTTTAAAGGGTAAACAGTGAGTGAAGGAAAGCCAGCGAAGGCCTTTTTTTTTGTCGTTACTTCAGCTGTGCTGCTGCCCTTTGACAAAACACTCCCGAAAGCACATACCAGAGGGGATCAGGCCGAGTTCCTGATTACACACACACACACACACACACACACACACACAACACACACACACACCACACACACACACACACACACACACACACCACACACCACACCACACACACACCACACACACACACACACTGCCAAACACACGCAATTCCTCACAGAGGCTTCAAGGGCCAACGGATGTGAGCAGAAAACATTCAAATTTGTGAGGGAACTAGATGAACATGTCTGATGAGTCCTTCATTGGTGCTTAAACACACCAGAAGGCAATGTTGCTTGAGCATGTGTGTGTGTGTGTGTGTGTGTATTTGTGGTGTGGTGTGTGTGTGTGTGTGTGTGCTCACAGACAGCCAAATGAGGCGAGAGAGGTATTTAACTCGGCTGCATAAGGTCAGACCCCTAAGGCTGAGTGTCTGTGTGTTTGTCGGTGAATGAGAATGAGCGTTTGTGTAACTATGAGGCCTGTTTGCAGTTTCTTTTTTTATAATGTGATGCATAACACGCACACTCCTCCTCATAAGCCTCTTAATTATGTCCTAGATGATTTACCTCCATCACCTGCAGCATGTCCTATCCTTGGACAACAGCGCTGCAGAGAAAGAGGGAGGAAGGGACAGAAGAGGGGGAAGAAAGAGGAGGGATGATGGCAGGAAAAGAGGGAGGAAAACATACAATAACATACAATTATAATTTTAAAAGACAAAGGAAAAAGGATGAAGACAGGAAATTAAGAAAAAACAAGAATATAATTCAGTAAATTAAGAAATAAATGAAAAGGCAGGATACATGAAAACTGACCTTAGACTATGCGCTGTTATTTGTCTCTTTACTTCTGTAAACTAAAGTAGACAAAGGTTTAAAAACAAGTTTGGTTCACACAACCTGCGATGACCTTTACAAAGCTGAAAACACGTGACTAACCATGAGTAACTGGCTTACTTTTCAAAACCTTCTGTCACAGCAGACGGACACATTTAGCAGCTAGCTGGTGAACACAGTAAAGCTTGAAGGAGCTAAATAGACAGAGTTTACACCCAGGAGTTGGTGGAGACCAAACAGAGATGAAAGTGAGAGAATATTGCACATTCATTAAACAACAGAAAGGGTTTTCTTCCAGCTCTTCCACAATTTACATTGTATTATAAAATGAGTCCCATTTTTCAGAACATGCTGGCACAAAACCAGCAAATGTCCAAACATCTACACACTTCCGGTATAGGCAAGTTCAGAGAGAAAGCTGATGCCTCTTGTTAAGTGTGCGTGTGTGCACGTGTGTGAGTGTGTGCACGTGTGTGAGTGTGTGTGTGTGTGTGTGTGTGTGTGTGTGTGTGTGTGTGTGTGTACTGTACAATGTGCTTCACTGTACAGACAAATAGACAGAGCACATTGACAGCCAGCCGAAAAGACATAATAGTGCATAAATAATGAGTGGCGTGCTTCAAGCAGAGAGCTCCAGTGAACAGGTGTCTCGCTTTACACACACACACACACACACACACACACACACACACACACACACACACACACACACACACACACACACACATACACATACACATACACATACACATACACACACACATTTAGCCTCTGGCATGGCCGTCTAACCCCTCCAGTATCAGCTCTGGCTCCAAAGAACACACTATACTTTTACTACATTCAGAAATATGAAATGTTATTATTGTACTTTTTTCCACTTAATGTATCAGCCTTATACATTTGGGTATTTTGGCCTTGAGTGAAAAGAACAAATTGCTGTATAATAAAGCTACTAAATAATAAATGTTGTAGTAACACATATCCACAGGCCTCTTAAACATGGCCCTTCTAAACAAAACTAAAAATAATATTTGTTCCCTGATAAATATTTGTTTGGTATTAAGTACAAGCTTATTTTGATTATGGCATGCGTGTATGTAATAAATAATTCAGTGCACCTTTACTCAGTAGAGAATTCAGTTATCTACACACACACACATGCGCGCACACACACACACACACACACACACACACACACACACGAGAGAATGAAATGTATTTGTTTTCATTCATGGTCACACACTACAGCTCCAATTCAAAATAGCCCTCGGAGATGTGTTTGTGTAAATATGTGTACAGTATGTGTGCAGTTGGGTGTGACAGTTGGGTGTAAACTGAACACACTGTCAGTGATATTCAGCTGTAAAACAGAAGTGTGTTTTGTTCATGTAAAGCAGGCGTTCCTATGACCCAACACATCCTGCTGGTCCTCTGTGCAAACAGTGAATGACCTGCAGCGGGTCTACTTCTCATTATGAAGGCAAATACACAAGTTTGCTGCACATACACAAAACCACACGGTACATTTTACACTCTGAAACTAGATGTATGTTACATTGGATTTACATGCAGTTGCATACCACGCTTTAACAGCACCAGAGCTTAATTCTAACTAATTAATGACAATAATATTGATATAACTGACTCCTTTAAACCTGCCAAAAGAGTATAATCATGTTAGTTGTGAGAAGTTAGTTGTACTGAATATTAACCACTGATTTGTAATAATTTAACCAGGCTGTAGCTTATATAGTAAGATTGCTGGTAAATTGCAGCCAAATGCAGGACAATTGTTCATTTACCTAACGTACAGTTTACCAGTCAGTCAGCAAAGAGAACAGCGAGCTGTAGTTTTAAATGTCAGTATTTGTACAAATAAAACAGACAGTAGATAATGTGTTTAATAGTCTGGTTCAAATTTGCTCTACGGTCATTATTTATTTCTTAGGAAGGAGCCAGGCTAACTGTTTCCATTTGTGTCTATGCTAAGCTAAGCTGTAACTGTACAGAAAGGAAAGTATATCCATCTTCTCTAACTCAAAGCAAGAGAAGAAACTAGATCATTTCCCAGTATATTAAACTTTTGTATTAATTTAGGCTCAGCAGGTTCAGCTCTGCTCATCGGGACAGGGAGTTTGCTGTTTTTGATATGAGCTATATTTAATCTAACGGCCTGATATACGACAGAAAATCATCAAGCAGTGTTTTCACATCAGGAATAAACACAGCTGATCTAGGCCATCGCCACCCTGGATTTCTTCATTTCACTTCAAGGAAATCACAAAACCTAAATGATTTGCATTGGAAGGAATAGACATTGGAAAGAAGAGCGAATCTCATGCTATTGTTCGGATGATTTTTCACGTTTTCTCTGCATCTAGTGGTTTCTTTTAAGGTGGATGTCTTGGACCATATTCTATGCACCACTTCTGGTATTTATGTGCATCCATTGTAAACCTGAGATGTACACACACGCACACACACACACACACACACACACACACACACACACACACGAGAATGAAAATGAAAATGTATTTGTTTTCATTCATGGTCACACACTACAGCTCCAATTCAAAATAGCCCTCGGAGATGTGTTTGTGTAAATATGTGTACAGTATGTGTGCAGTTGGGTGTGACAGTTGGGTGTAAACTGAACACACTGTCAGTGATATTCAGCTGTAAAACAGAAGTGTGTTTTGTTCATGTAAAGCAGGCGTTCCTATGACCCAACACATCCTGCTGGTCCTCTGTGCAAACAGTGAATGACCTGCAGCGGGTCTACTTCTCATTATGAAGGCAAATACACAAGTTTGCTGCACATACACAAAACCACACGGTACATTTTACACTCTGAAACTAGATGTATGTTACATTGGATTTACATGCAGATGCATACCACGCTTTAACAGCACCAGAGCTTAATTCTAACTAATTAATGACAATAATATTGATATAACTGACTCCTTTAAACCTGCCAAAAGAGTATAATCATGTTAGTTGTGAGAAGTTAGTTGTACTGAATATTAACCACTGATTTGTAATAATTTAACCAGGCTGTAGCTTATATAGTAAGATTGCTGGTAAATTGCAGCCAAATGCAGGACAATTGTTCATTTACCTAACGTACAGTTTACCAGTCAGTCAGCAAAGAGAACCGCGAGCTGTAGTTTTAAATATCAGTATTTGTACAAATAAAACAGACAGTAGATAATGTGTTTAATAGTCTGGTTCAAATTTGCTCTACGGTCATTAGGAAGGAGCCAGGCTAACTGTTTCCATTTGTGTCTATGCTAAGTTAAGCTGTAATTGTACAGACAGGAAAGTGATATCCATCTTCTCTAACTCAAAGCAAGAGAAGAAACAAGATCATTTCCCAGTATATTAAACTTTTGTATTAATTTAGGCTCAGCAGGTTCAGCTCTGCTCATCGGGACAGGGAGTTTGCTGTTTTTGATCTGAGCTATATTTAATCTAACGGCCTGATATACGACAGAAAACCATCAAGCAGTGTTTTTCCACAGGAATAAACACAGCTGATCTAGGCCATCGCCACCCTGGATTTCTTCATTTCACTTCAAGGAAATCACAAAACCTAAATGATTTGCATTGGAAGGAATAGACATTGGAAAGAAGAGCGAATCTCATGCTATTGTTCGGATGATTTTTCACGTTTTCTCTGCATCTAGTGGTTCTTTTTAAGGTGGATGTCTTGGACCATATTTCTATGCACCACTTCTGGTATTTATGTGCATCCATTGTAAACCTGAGATCCTGCCTTCACATGTACACACACACACACACACACACACACACACACACACATATATGCACACAATGGAGGACACACATTTCAGCTTAGCAATGGTCCCTTTTTATAACAGCGTTGGGAATGGCTTAAAGCTGTCTGGCTGACAAGTGTGTAGATTTGGATAGATACGTCATTGTGAGAGGCAGAGTAGCGAACAAGTGCGAGGGAAGGCGTCTTTCTCTTCCTTGCTATCTCTTTTTTCTCTGGAGTGGTGTTTTTATGCCAGGAGGAGAAGCCAAGTTGTTCCTGATGGTTGTGTCTCCCCCTCACAAAGGCTGATGTGACTGCAGGGCCTTTCAGTGGGCAAAGAGACAAGAGCTTTATCTGAAGATCCACTTCTCCAGCTCCTTTCTTGGTGGTTGTGGTGAAAGCCTGTTAGCTCCGCTGTGTTGAAGCAGCGTTTGTTTCTGTTCCTCGCTCAGCTCTGATCACACAACCTCCATCACTGTTTTGACTTCTCAATTTAGAAACTTTACCGGCGTGACATGTTCATCACAAACGGGATTGTCAAGGTGTGACGTCCACATTTGCAAAAAGCCTACACACAGCTGTTTCCACAAACCCTTTTATATATCTATAGTGTGTTTTCACGGCTCAAGTAAACTCAGAAATCTGACAACATAGCTGTAAAATGTACAGATCACTGCCAGTGAATGACAACATTTTGATCTCACAGAGATTTGCATCATGCAGTAAACAAGATACTGTAGAGCATGCAACATAGAAGGGGATGACAAATTGAAAAGTAAATGACTCAAAAACATGACAAATGCAAATTCTTTGATACAGGCTCACAGAATGGTTTGATGGAAATGATGTGAAACATTTCAATGCTTTCACATATGCAGTCACACGAATCTAAGTGAACAACTACCGGAGATTTTGGAGCAAGGTGTTAAAGGTCCCATGTCATGCTTTTCCGGTTATTACCCGTCCCCTTGTGTGTTCTGTAGCTTCTGCATGTAAACGGTCTGCAGAGTCACAAACCCTCAAAGTACACCCTGTAGCGAGTAAAACTCTAACACAGAAAAGACCTGTCAATGCTGCCCCAGAACGCCTCGTTGGAGATTTCTCTTTTTCCATTTTTCCTTCCGGGTCCTATTGACGTAACGAAGTCCAAATGGACCAATTGGTCCAAATGGACCAATCCGCGGAGCTCCGCACACACACACACTCTCTCAGCCTTATCTTTTCTCAGCCGCGGAGCTCCGTAAACACAAACACTCGGAGCTCAGGCTGTGAGTGTGTGTGTGTGCTCAGGCTGAGCTCCGTGGTGTCTCGCTGTCTCGCAGACCCCACGCAGCAACCAGGAAACGACACCAGTAATACAGCTCACACTGTCCGCTCCTCGAGCCTCAAAGGGCGGAGCAGCGAGCCCCGCAACGTCCCGCCGACACGGCACCCAGACCCCACGCAGCATTCTCATCTGTTTGACATTACTGGTGTCATTTTCTGGTTGCAAACAACCGCCGTTGTAACACATAATCACTGATGTTCCGCTGTAACGGTGGTGGACTCATCAGAACAGAGTGGGCGAGCTGACCAATCAGAGCACAGTGGGCTCATAGGGAGGGGGGGGGGGCAGGAGCTCCAACAAGCCGTTTAGGACAGAGAGTGAATACACATACTATACAGAGATGCTGTATGAGAAACCAATGTGAGTTTGGAACATTGAACAATGTAAATCTATTCTAGTAGACCTCAACAATGGAATTATAATCAGTAGAAATGGCCATGACATGGGACCTTAAAGGTTTTTGTATTTTATGAGCTTCAGTTTTTCACAAACAAAAACAGGCAAAAGTTGAAAAGCACAAGTCTGATCGATGGATACAAAAAAGTCACAATTTGTTTGTTAAACACTTAAACATGAAAAGTTCAAAGAGGGTTGTGACTACTTAATATATAGGAAACTATTGGATTAAGCATCATTTCTGGATAAATGGTCTTGTACATACTTTTCTCTTTCTATATTTTTTTTTCCAGAAGACCCTCAGAGAGTTGGAGATGATGTGATGCGTGTCTCCAGACAGACGGAGAGAAACCAGACAGCAACAGGACCTTCGTACCCGAATACTCCGACAACACAGTGAGTGACATGAACCATGTGTGTGAGCTTTCTACGTGATTTCAGGTTGTTATTATCACTGTCACACATCTTATTTCTTTAAACCTGCTTTAATAACTATTTTGGCCACTGTTATTGATATTTGACCATATTTTTAAGTTGATATGTTGAATTTGTTGGCAATGTACACATCCAGTCGTTATGGAGTAACTTAATCATCCATTTAAAGTCATGTTTGTGTCCAAATTATGAATGAAAGTGAATTAAAACAATAAGTTTATACCATATTGAAACATCTTTGCCTTTTAAGTTGATAGGGTTAGGGTTAACTTGTCAGGAAACAGTTGATATTGACAGATAAAACAGACAATTTCCCCTCTCTTTTAGCTCCGTTTTAAGTCTTCACCAATGAGACTATTCTTAGCATATTTCCTGAGGAACATATCAGACTCTTCAGCCTCGAAATGCTCGATCAATACAATAAGAATGCACCAAAATGAAAAGAACAATTGTTATAATAAGGATACACATTATAGCTGCTTTATATACAATGAAATAGTTAGTTCAACCCACTCTTAAAGAAGCCCCAGACAGACTCTGTGTGCGGATGATTCACTGTTCCACTTTAAGTTGTCATCTCCTCTCCCTCAGTGGTTCGGTATTGTCTGTATAAGAATTGTATGAGAGCGTCTGTGGCCAAATGACCCAGCTGCATCCCAAAAGCCTTCATCCCAGTGACACTTCAAATGTCAACGCCACATCAGTTACGGGTCTTACGCTTCCATCCATCCCAACGCTGAACCCACATTTGAAACTCCACCGGACTCCATCCGCACCACGCCTGAAGAACTCAGTGTTTCGGAGTGATTGTTTAATACACTCGTCTACATGAATGACATGTGGAAACAGCGTGACTTAAGACACACTCAAAGCACTTTGTCCCCGCCTCACACACAAACAGATACTTACAAATATAGCCATCCACGTCTCTATTATTGTGAAGTGATGGAGGGGCCTTCCTTGTCATACCCCAACTAACATATTGGACTATTTATATGGGATTTGTGTGCATTAGATCAAAAAAGGCGCTCTTGTTCTTTTCATCCTCATAGGCTTTTCATGGCTGTTTGACTGTAACACTGATGACTCCCCTCCACTCTGCGTTTCTCTAAGCCCCCTCCATCCATCCCAAATCCCTTCCTATCAGCCAATTTAAACAAGCTGGGTCCAGAGAGAGAATGAGAGGGGAAGAGACAGAGAGAGATGCTCTGTCCTAAGCTCTTTTTAAAAACAGTAAAAGGAGAAAAAAGAGGGTTAGGGCGATTTGGCAGCCAAAGGCCCGGGTGTAGTACCGCAGGTCTAAGAAAGCAGATCCCCAAACCTCCCAACAGATAATAGCCACAGAGAGAAAGAGACAAAAGCCTCCCCCCTTCCTTTTAGAACAATTTTTCATATTGAACCCCCTCCGTTTTTTTTTTTGTAATCTGGTCTCCGATGAAGTTTCATTGTTTCTCATGTGAAGCCAATGACAGCTTAGCTGAGATGGAGAAGGCGAGGCATTGTAGCGCGGGCGTTTTCCCGTTTGGCTCGCTGAGAAAAGAGCAAGAGAAACGGGAGGAAGGCGAAGCACAATGGCAGTTCGGGGGGCTTCCTCGCCGATCCACGCATTCCCCAAATCCGACTCTGTGCTCGGAGAAGTGAGAGAGGGAACGAGACGGGAATCTGGGAAGCATCCCAACGTTCCTTTGATGGCTGCTGGCCTCGCTCTTGTCACGTACTCCTCTGTCAGCGGAGGAAGGAGATTGGAGGCTATTTTTATTGTTGCGTATAAAGGAGGCCAAAATTGACACTAGAGCTTTTTAAATTACAATTGTTATGTATTTATTTCATATTTATGTCCAGAATCTCCAAGTAGGAAAGATGTCAGTATCTAGATCCAGATCCTGAGGGACATCTGCTTTTCACTGATGTCCACTGACCCAATGACTGATCACATTAATACAAATCAGTCATACTTGTTTCACCTGATACTTGCTTATCTTGCTGAGGTGTTGGTGTCCCAAAGATGGTCTGAAATTGAAATTGAAATGGAAGAAGTTTTGTGTTTTTCGGAAGGAGGTGAAAATGTAAAATGTAATTTTCATCAGTGTAGGAATGGAGAGAACCATTATCTTTTGATCATAAGAAAAAGACAGAAGACCAAATCTGCCATGCGTGTAAATCACTGATGACCAAAAATACCAAACTCTTTGCTAATAGGAGCCCCAGTAAAGAAGACATGATGCATTTTGAGGTTAGACGTTTCTCTCTGCCACAACATGCAATCCATAACTCAACAAATGAACACTTACCTGCTCTCTAGATTGTCAGAAGATAGACTGGAGCTAGTCTGTCATAAAAGAAGATTACAACATTTCGGAACAAAATTACCAAGCAAAGCAACAACACATACAATTCTTTAATCTTTAAACTAAATCCAACAGATGTTACACTTTAATCATTATCAATTTATTCCTCAGGGTTGATGGAAGAGCCAATCAGAGGCGACTTCAGGCCGAGAGCATACGTGTGACCGTCAGCCCAGAAGTGTTCAGGACTCTGAGACAAACAGGTGTGTGTGTGTGTTGTTGTGTGTGTGTGTGTGTGTGTGTGTGTGTGTGTGTGTGTAGTGTGTGTGTGTGTGTGTGTGTGTGTGTGTGTGTGTGTGTGTGTGTGTGTGTTGTGTGTGTGTGTTGTGGTGTGTGTGTGTGTGTGTGTGTGTGTTGTGTGTGTGTGTGTGTGTGTGTGTGTGTGTGTGTGTGTGTGTGTGTGTGTGTGTGTGTGTGTGTGTGTGTTGGGTGTGTGTGTGTGTGTGTGTGTGTGTGTGTGTGCGCTTTAGGGGCTCCCGGTTGTGTGAGTATGCATGTGTAATATTGTGACGTCTGACTTCCTCTAAATCTCGTGTCGTTTGGTTTTGTCGTTGCAGGAAGCAGTCAAGGCGACAGCCGGAATGTGAGTAGATTGGATATTGATTTTTTATTATGATAAGAATCATAAAATATCCCTATTCAGTAGTGTTCATAGTCATGTTATGTAATAGCATTATACTTCAGTCGATCGAAGAATATGTCCTCCAAAAATGTCGATAATTGATTAATCGTTTGGCATTTTTCAAGCAAAACTGGTGAATAGCTGGTTGAAGCTTCTTGAATGTGAGAATTTGATTCTTATGATAGAATTAAGTATTTATTTCGTTTTCAGTTGGACAAAACTAGCTGTTTTAGGACATCACTTTAGCCCTGGAAAGTTTGAATTGCCTTTTCACTACTTTTTTGATAGTGTGATATAGACTACATGTAATTAAGAATTAATAATGTGGAAGACTTCAAGACTTTAAAGTGAACCATGAAGTACATTTTGGTAGGTGAGTGTATCGCTCAGGTGTGAATATAGGATAAAATATCATGGTACAGTATAGAATAGTACTCAGCAGGTACATAGGACTCTTCTGAGGGAACTCAAAGGTAAAACTACCAATCAGATCACACACGATGAAAACATGTGCTGCTAATCATCTGTCTTTACTTTTACAAACAGGTTTATAAAACAGAACATTTGTGTTTCTTCTCTCTTTCAGGACGATGAAGACCTCGGGATGCTTCATGTGGTCCATTTAGGAATGGTTTGAAAGAACATCAAAGATACGATAAGAGACACATTTCACCAATCACAGACTCACTTTCTATCCATATGTTGCTATGCAAAGTAGTTACCTGGAGAAGAGCTCAACTCATTGTGAACACTACATCTGATAGATATCTGATCAAAGTGATATAATACATGTTTGTATCACCACTTTTTGTTGGTGACTTGTACATTTTATATTGCTCAATCCTGTCATATTCTACCTGTGAAATGTTGATGTGAATTCAGGGTATTTCTGTCTTAGTGAAATCTAAACCAAATGAACCTCAAAAGAAATCATTAACACCGGGTTCTGCTTTTAAAACCACGACTGAAAGTGTTTTAAACCTTTCCATTAATCACCCTGAAAAAATAAAGACTCGTATTATATTTCCATCACCACTGATATTGAATGTTCCAGGCTTCTTCTTCTTCCACTCCACTGTGTGTGTGTGTGTGTGTGTGTGTGTGTGTGTGTGTGTGTGTGTGTGTGTGTGTGTGTGTGTGGTGTGTGTGTGTGTGTGTGTGTGTGTGTGTGTGTGTGTGTGTGTGTGTGTGTGTGTGTGTGTGTGTGTGTGTGTGTGTGTGTGTGTGTGTGTGTGTGTGTGTGTGTGTGTGTGTGTGTGTGTTGGCTGAGATTACGGGCCACAGTTTTATTCATGAATAGGAGCCAACCAGCGTATTTAAAGCGTCGCGCGGAGCCCCTTTCCTGAACAGCAGCCATGGTCGTGTCAGAGCTGTCGACGCGCGGCGCTCAGCGACTAATCTGACAGCGCCGCGGAGCCGTAATCCCTCACTGTATCCTAATCTATTTACTTTGCATTCTAAGAGGATTTCCACCAAAAAATATACAAGAAGCGATGTTGGAAATGGACAGAAGATCAGCGAGGATGCTTTTCTCCTCGGTTTTTTTTGTTTGTTTTGTTAAAAAAAAAATCATTGTATGTTTTTCGTTGGGGAGTCAATCCCCTGCGAGAGGGACGGGTGAAAGGAATTACATTTCTGACTGATACTAATACTTCTCTTATGTAAACATCACCATGTTATATTTCCCCTCTGATGATACAGTCACACTGCAGAGGCAGCTGGAGATAAGTGGCATCTGTCGGTGCCTTTAGAGCATCTCTTGACACGTTTATAATTTCCAAACCAAGGCTGCATTATCTCCTGATTGTCTGACTTGACAGCTTGAATAAAAAGCTGAAGAATGGCTAAACAGGCGAGCAGGAGTTCCTCCCCTCTCTCTGGTGGCCCTTAGTAGCCTTTCTGACATGCAAACAGTGAAATCTGCGCTTTCATAACACAGAAAACAAAGTACTCCGATACCCTTTGAGCAATTATGTCAGCTTTGGGGAATCATACATAGTTATGCTTCATTTAAAATGTGGCCAGCAGCTTTTTGTGTAAAACACCACCGCCTCGCGCTCAAATCTTTGCCATCCGAGATGACTCGCAGAGATAGGCTTATTAGTGGAATTAACATACTGTGAAACGGCCTTGTTAACATTTGGAAATGAATCAAGCCCGCGGCACGTGCTATTATCCAGGTTGTGTTTTTGATTCTCTCCCTGTGCAGCAGCAGAGATGGCCTCTAATGAAGGCTCTGATTGGACTGTGTACATGTTTTATAGGTTTGTTTCTCTCCACAAGACAAATACGCCAAGACCATTAAAGACATCAAACGGAGAAAATCACTTACAGTTGAGGGTGATTGGAAGAGTCTTGTTCCCAGAATAGTGTTGAGTTTCTCTTAGCTGTCGGTTCTCAAGACGAGGAATGAGATGTTCTTTGCATACTTCATTATCACGAAAAGTACTTAATTACGGTGCAACGTATCTGTATTAAATATCTGTTTTTGCCTCTCAGCCAAAAGTGTTATCATTTGATACTCTATGATTAAAACAACCTCAGATTCTGCTGAGATGAAAGTTAAGATCGTGGATAGTCACCTTCTGGTCAAATATCCTCAGCCCTTATGTTCTGTTGGGAGAGAGTTTATTGAAAGACTGACCTTTTTTATGACTTCTCGGAGACACCAGCTGTAAAACATGGTTGAATACAAAGGATTTAAATGTACTTTCTGTGTCTTGAATAGTGTTTTTGCTCCAAAACGTCTATGAGGATTTCTTTTATTAACAGTTTCTCTATACACTGCACATATAACTTACAAAAACACAACTTGTTTCTTTATTTGAAGATGCCTTTATGGTAATGTCTCTGTTGTGTCACCTTACTGATGGAATATCCAAGTTAAGGGATCATCAATGCAATGCTAGTAAACATATTGGGTATTAATAAGGTCTTAAGGGACGGAGTGGCGCAGTGGGCTGTGCGTTGATCATCAGAACTCCAGTTCGAAACCCGCCCCCGCCGCCACTGCGTCAGGCCGTCGTGTCCTTGGGCAAGACACTTCACCCGAATTTGCTCCACAGTACATGACCGTTTCATGTATGATATGTGTGTAATGTGTACTTGTAAAGCGCCTTGATGACTTCGAGGTGTGAAGATGGGCAGAGTGGCGCAGTGGACTGTGCGTTGGGGAACACCAGTTCGAAACCCGCCGCTGCGTCTGTAAAGCCGTCGTGTCCTTGGGCAAGACACTTCACCTGAATTTGCTCCTGTGGGTATTGTCCACAGTACATGACAGGTGAAGCGCTTTACAAATAGACATTACACACATATCATACATGTAACGACATGTATGATATGTGTGTAATGTCTATTTGTAAAGCGCTTTGAGCATCTGGAAAAGCGCTATAATAAATGTAAGGAATTATTATTATTATTATAAGTATTAAAAGAGGGGAAATTGTTTAATACTTACACATAAACAAACAATAGGGAGGCTGTGGCTCAGTGGGTAGTGTGCTGGACTTCGAATCAGGGGATAGCAAGTTCGAGTCCCACTGCAGTCAGCATGTCGTTGTGTCCCTGAGACACTTCACCCCAAGTTGCTCCTGGGGATTGTCCACAGTACTGAATGTGTGTAAGTCGCTTTGGATAAAAGTGTCTAACAAATGACATGTAATACTTTTCAGAGGTTTAAGAGAATGTTGTATAATTTCCCTACAGAGGCGAACATCTGCTATTTGAATGTCTAAAGATCAATAGTTGATTTTGCATCTATTATATGTGTTAATACGTTACAGAGGTGGCTGCACTTTGGTCCCATGTGTGGACAGAAATGTGTCATTGAAGAACAATCTAAAGAAGACGAAGAGCAACGCGTCAGACGGCGATGCATTGACTCTCGGAGACGACGTCCTCGTGGGAAACTCTGAAGCCTGCAGGCCAACGAGCAGCCGCTGAGATTCCCACGTCTGCAGGGCTTTAAACAAGTTGTGACTCGGGATGAGGGTCTGTATCCTTTGCAGATGAGATAATACGAGCCCCCTCAAATACCTCTCTGCTCCATCCCTCCTGATGCTACTGATTCACCAGGAATGTGGGAAGTGAGGACGTCAAAAAGCATCTGAAGTCTTGAGAGTTAGTGCCTCTTGTCTTGTTTCCCATCAGCTACTTTAAAGAAGGAAGGAAGTGCCTCCTACTGACCTCAGATCAACTTTGAATCCTTTAATTTACTGATAAACTGATGAAGAACTTCACTTCATTTTAGGGAGTTTGGCCCACTGATCAAATACCTGCAAAACTATTGACTTTCATATTAGCTTTACTTTAACAATGTACCATCTAAACATTACCTCATCATTAAGGCTGCAACTTTCATTATCAGTTGATCAATTGATGAATTGGTCTATTTTACATTATTCAACTGTTTAAAATGAAGACCAGGATGTCTTAGATGTCAAAAATAGTGTGCACAAATGTCTTGTTTTGTCCGAATCCTTAAAATATTCAGTTGACTATAATATTTGGACGTGAAAAAGCAGAAATGTTTACATCTAAAATACCTAAACAAGAGACTGTTGAGATTTAGTTTTCCAAACAACTTAAATGTGTAATACATGACAAACGTCTGGCGACTAACTAATTGATTAATTGACCAATCATTTCAGCTCTTCTGGTCATTGTGAGCATGTTAGCTGCTAATGTTAACATAGAATAGGAGGGATGAAACCCCTCTTTAATGGTCTCACATGCAGAGCACACAGCACACACAGTGACATGTGTTCTCTGCTTTTAACCCATCCTAGAACCAGGAGTAGTGGGCAGCTATTGTACAGCCCCCGGGGAGCAATGGGAGTGAGGTTGTCCGGTGCCTTGCTCAAGGGCACCACGGCAGGGCAGGAGGTGAACTGGGAGCTCTCCAAGTAGCAGTCCAAACTCCAGATTTAGGTCTGGTCGGGGACTTGAACCAGCGACCCTACGGCTCACAGTCCAAGCCCCTACTGACTGAGCCACTGCCTCATAGAACCACAGACTTTAGTGGCTCACATTGCTCAGATTTTCTATGAAAATGTACACTAAAGTGTCTCTTTAAGACATTCTTAACAGGTTTTGCATTATTTCAAAGCCTGTATGTAAGACTATCATAGCCATATGAGATGTGAGTCACACTGAGGCGGCATATACATCAACATTTAGAGCCAAATCCCAAATCCATATTCCTTTAAACTCCCCTCTGTGTGGAGTCCGGAGTTTCCCTCCAGAAGAAAATGAAAGCTTGATCTTCCCCGTGTCCTCTGCTCAACTCAAATCTACAGTATGTAAACCCACCAGGAATGTCATGAATGCTCTCAGTGCCTCGTGTCGTAAGGATGACTAAGCTGCTTTTACTCCAGCAGCTCCACCTGGACTCGACTGTGAAATCCCCTCACAGGAAGCAACAATACTTGAGTTTAAATGGCGGATTCAAGCTGATGTTTGTGGCTTTTTTATTTAACCTTTATTTCACACCAGGAAACACTTAAAATAGACAGAAAAATCCACTGCAAATACCAGCTTTATTTATGTGCCAAGATATTAAACAAAACAAGGTGAAACAAAGGCAGAGAAACCGGAGACGGAGGCCTGAGCTCCTCCCATGTACAGCTGACCCCAGATTAACCTCCCAGGTAAATATAATCCTCTGCATCACCTCTTCATACCGGCCTGTAAACACACTCGGATGCCAAGGTCTGGCGACATCAGACAGCCAATGAAAGACAAGAAGAAAACAGCTCCAGCATGCATATCAGCACATCTGCTCAGTTTCTCCCAATATCTTTTCTCACGCGGTCTCACAAACCAAATACACAAGGTTTCTGTGTGACTTTATCTGTCTCTGTCTCCAAATACAAATCAACAGCCACTCATGCAAAAAAAAAAAAAAAAAAAGGTCCAGATTGGTTCCAGTTCACCTCCTGGACAAGAGTGAACAAAATGTTTCCAGTCCGCCCACATTCACACTCTTTCACCGGAGGTCAAAAGGTCAACAGTTTCCATCGATCGTCCTATTGAGGAGAGTGTGAGGACCCTCGGCTCAGGTTAAAACTACACTCATCACACACAAGGGAGGAACTGGCACAATAACGGGCTGCTTTTAATTATTTTTAATTAAGTATCACTCGTGGTGGACTTATTTTAAATGCATCTGAAGAGGAAATCCTGTTTTGTCTTCGCAGATTCTTCATTTTGACATTGGTTCCTAATTTTAAGGATTGAAGTGTCTTTGTTTTTACTACTGCTTTTCCAGAAGTCTGTTTTATCATTCCACTTCAGCACTTATTTGTATATATTATATGATGTGTTAATGCCCATGTGAAGCACTTTGAATTGCCTTTGTGTCTGAAATGTGTTATTATAAATAAACTAACCTTAACCTTAACATTTTAAAGGCTTTCTTTAACAGTAACGCTGATAAAAGGTATCAACTTGTAAGATCTTCCATCGTCAAATATGGTGTGATTAAAAACGAAATCATGCAGGTTGAACTCTGCGTTCACCTGAAATATTCCCAATGCAAGATTATATCATAAATGTTTTATCACTCGACATTAATCCTTTCTAAGGTAAAGGTATATTTTAGGCTTTTCAGATGATTAAAACACACACAATATTTAGCTTTCTGACTTTTGTTCATCTGATGAGGACAAAAACCAACTTGATGAATGTTCAGACCATTCATTTAAATAACGTGTAGTACAGTCTGAGAACAACTACTCATTGATAAAATGTTCACCTTGTTTTTCATAATATCTTCCGCCTCAAAAAAAGGTTAAATATTATTTCTAAACCATAAGTAAAAGATGCCAGGATTTGATTCAAATGTCATAAGATGCCTGTTAATTGAAGGAGTGTTTTAGTACATTGTGCAATTGTGATGTAATCCCTAATATTTGTTAGATATTCTTTTACATTTGACTAACAGGAGTGTCCATTTTCTGTCTCTACATTGGCAATAAAACACATTATTATTTTGTACGTCTAGTTTTTTTATTTAAACATGCAAATCATTGCTTTAAAGTGAATTTCAGCTCTTGTTTTTTGTTAACGTTATATCTAAAAATGTATATATTATTAATTTACATAATGAATAATAATCCTGTATTTTTGTTGCATCTCTGCGGGGCTTTTGGTGAAATGTTCTCTTATTGTTCAGGCTTGTATGTTATCCAATACATTGACAGTAACTCACCCCAACAAATACAACTCCTACACTCTAAGGCCTGAAAGAAAAGTTAAAATAAAGATTAAAACATACATATACAATGTCCTTATTGTCTAGCGTGTGTAATGACAAGGCTGCAGAGAAGATTTGAATATTGAGCTGCAGAGAAATCTCGATGAGGATGAAATAATTTGCGTGCGTAAAAAACAGTCTGTCAAGCGGCTGAAAACTATTTGTGTTACCTGATGTCTTCCTCTAGTTAAACAACACATTTGGTTTACACGTAAAAACCTGATAAAATTACATGTTGTCTTATTTATCTACAATAACACGTTTCCATTTAAAAATAAATCTCCTTTAGCAAAGTCACAATAGAGCAGAGTGCTGGATTGAATCTGCGTATTTTGGGCCATTTATTCGCTCTTATCTCCACAGTATCTCCAAATTCAGGAAGAACATGTCAATAATGGGTTTTCTACTTTCTTTTAGGCATTTAATTATATAATCTATGTCCTAAAAGCGACATTTCCTGCAGCATGTGTTGGCTGCAGGCAGCTTCACATCCTCAGAGGAAACATTAAATATCGGATCTGTCTTCTTTTGTCAGAAACGCTTCCACCGCTTTGTTTCTGTTTGAAGGTGAGCAGCTGAGACCTGTAGCTGCTCTACCACTCTCTCTCTCTCTCTCACACATACACACACACAATTTCTCACTCTCACACACACTCACTCTTTTCCCCCTCCTTAAACAATCCCACAAGATGTGGTCTCAAAATGTTTGTTTGATGCAAATCCGAACAAATCCTCCGCTGTTCGTGGACTCTCGCTGCGCTGTTTACGTCTTGGCGCAAACACGTTTAATGTCCCGGTCTGTAGATATTTATTCAGCTGCTGCGAGCTTCATTTACATAAAGAGGGAGAGAAAGGGGGAGAAAGAGAGGAGGGCTGCAGCTGAAACAGGCTCTGCACAGAGAGGCCGGCAATATGCACCCAGCAGGCCGATAATCTGATCAGGTTCATGGGAGGGATTATCGATGGCAGCCAGGACAGCGGCTCCAACGTTTTTGGCTTCCGACAATTTAATAAAATATATCATCCTCATCATCACCGATTACTTTCCTTCCTAGCATTGTTTTATTTGGATGAAGCACATTTGGGACCAAAACTCGGACAAAAAAAACGATATATGTCACGTTAATCTATTTTTTCGAATCGTGTCGATCATCTTTTGGTTCCTCAACTTTCTGCCATGTTTTAAAGGAATAATAAAGCACTGTTTTAAAGCCTGGAAAAGCCAACTATGCTACTTAATATCGAACAAGTAAAAGGCGAGAAAGATCGATAAATGTTTGTTTTCTGGTCCTTTGACTCCCTGTCAAATTATAACAGAAACTGAACACATTTCGTTGATTAATGGATTATCCATCGACATGAAATTGACTCCAGTATTTTTTAGAATAATCATTTTCCATTAAAATAGTTTATATTATAGTTTTTTAAACCGAGATTATGATGGCTAGTAATGTTTCACTTAAACATTTTATAGACGAATCAAATCAGACTAACTTTTGGTGAAAATGTTTGCACACAGCTCTCATTATAACATAACAGGACACTAAATATCTCAGTTTAAATTCTTATTCGAGATATTAAGAAAACCTTGTCTTAGTCTTAATTAAACCCCTCACCACCTGCTCTTTTTTGTTGGGGGGAGTAATTTCTTTGCACAAGGTCGGTTGTTTTTATTGGGGCAATTAATTTGCATTAATCTGTTTCTCCCCCACCCCTCCTCTGCTCTGTGCGGCCTTCACTGCTTCAGAGAAACATCTCGTCTAAAAACAACCTTGCCAGTGAACTGACGAGTAATTTACTCCCTCCCCTCTTCTTTTATAATGTCTGCAAGCACTACACACACACACACACGCACACACGCGCACACACACATCTGACCCCCTAACCTGGCCCCACCTACGTAATTACCGCATCAGAGGCAGTGCAATTCCTCCAGGTTATTTTGGAGAAACCAACAGAGTAATTATCACGCCATTACAGAGATGCATTCAATTACGCCTCGATATTTAGGGGCTTTTTAACGCTGCAGTTTCAAAAAAAATGGACACTTTACTCTCCCCTAAAGCGATGTGAAGATGTTAGTGTTTCAATTTAACTCAGAGACACAGAGGATTACAACTGGCTGCTCTCTAAAATGGAAATGTGGGGCCTGTACACGCGTTCACGGCTTGTATTAATCATGGACTAATTTGCATTTACCCCCGTTATGATTAAGGGGGGAGGAATTCAACAAGCTTTTAAATAAAAGTGTGACTAATTCAAATGAGAGAAAACAGGAATATTGAGTTTGTAATTTGCTGGTGAACATGCATCTAAAATAAGATGTTGACTCCCTGTTGGGAATCACACTGAGACAGAAGCCACTAATAAATATGACTTAACGGATCTTTATTGGATGAACATGTATGTAAGGGTGGTTCGCCTTAAAGATACATTCAACATCTTACTGTCATTTTGGAGCTAATAAATCCACATTTTCCTCTCCAAAAATAAAAATGCTCTGACTCCAATTTCAAGCCAAGTGCTGCGGTTCAAACATGTCCAATATATCACGACAATGCCCAAGAGAGGAGGTCTGGTTTGAAAATGTAGAGAGGTTAGAATAATAATATCCGGAAAACAAACTGCATCTATATTTTAGAGTTGTATCCCCCCCCCCCCCCCCCCCCCTCCCGAGACATTTCAAATTGCCAAAACATTTTTTTTTTTGAGTAAAACAACGTAGGATATAAAAGCTGAACCTTATGGCCAATTTGTTCTCTTTGGAATATTTGGAAAGATTTACATACAGGGTTTTTTTTAATCTTTTTTTTCTCCCAAAGTGGTAATAAACAATTTCAAATTCGGAAAAAAAAACACCAACTAAACATGGTCACTGTAACTGACCCAAATACATATTTACATATTTCAGCTCCACGATGTAGCTGACTAAAAATCTCTGTCATCCTAAAATAACAAATTTCAGAAATAAAAACTTTACAGGATTTGATTGGGAGGTAAAGAGGGCGAGTTCCTGTCCAGGGGGAAATATTCCTCCCATCCAGAGAGCTGGTGGTCAAAGGAGTTTGGTTGAAATTACTTTTTTTGTAGTTTTCAAAAACAGTTTCATAAGGTCATCCAAGAATCAGCGTCTTTCAAAAACCCATTCTTCATCGTCAGGAAACTGCTCCTGATGTTTGCTCTCCTCAGCATTCCAGGGACTGTTTCTCTTCAATTTGTTTAGTTTTTAAAAAGACGTCGAGGGTAAAACAAAGTCCGATTGCTGCTATCTTATGGTTCATAAACTCTTTTTGTCTTTTGAAAACAAGCAATATGCTAATCTGGAAAATAAAAGAAGCTGACAAGCAGGAGGAGGAAGGAAAAAAAAAAAGCCCGATCACAAGACTTGGAACCTCCAGGAGGCCTGGTCTTTGTAGTCCAAGCAGTCTGTGGTGTTAAAGTTGAGCTTCCACGAGGAGGCTGCAGTCTGCTCTTTGTAATCCAGGCAGTCGGAGGAGTTGAAGGCCAGGCCGGAGCCTCCGTACGCCTGGTGGTGGTGGTGGTGGTGCCCCGACGACTGGCTGATGTGGTGGTGCGGGTGGCCGGACATGGAGGAGGCCGTCATGGGGCTGAGCTGGTGGGGGTGGTGGTGGGAGTGCATGGGGGCCAGGTAGGAGCCACAATCCACCCCGCTGAAGTAAGAGCTGGACGGGGTGGGGTAGCCCTGCCCGTACCCCGGCGTCTGGTTGTAGGACATGGGGTAGGAGGTGGCAGCGGCGGCGGAGCCTGACATCGAACGCTGCATACAGGAGGCGTTAGACGGGGGTCCGGGCTCGGGGATCGGGGCCACCGCAGGAGCCGTAGCATTTCCGGGGGAGATGGCGGGGCTCCAGATGGAGGAGACGGTGCTGATGGAGGTAGAGGTGCTGCTGAGCGCCGCAGGGCCCGTGTGATTGGTGGAGGAGGAAGAGGACGAGGACGAGCCGGTGCTGGAGACGGCCGGCGGAGTGAACTGCCCGCTGCTCTCCGAGCCGGTGCTCTCCCGGGCCGGAGACGACTTCTTCTTAGGAGGCCGGGCCTTTGCACTGTTGCCACTCTGCGCCTGCTGGCGACACTTGGCCCTCCGGTTCTTGAACCACACCTACAGAACAGCCAGGAGTTAGTAACAAGACACGCACACAAACAACCTCAGCGTTTCATTAACCTTTGTGTTGTCTTCCCCTTAACTGTTCATTTTTTGTCCTGGTTTGATTGTTTATACCTGAATCTGGGTTACACATTTAAAACCAACTTATTCCAACTCATTGCCACAAGTATTACTTCTCTCTTTGGCATTTTATGGTCAAAAGGAACTAATTTACACTAAATTAAATCAAATGTTTTAAAGCCTGGTCATAGTTGAAGAAGGACTCTGTTATATATATATATATTTTTTTTTTAAACAATGACAGCCCATAATGCACCTGATGCTTTACATTTAAATGAAGAACGTTGTATGAAACCATCCATGTTGTTGTTGTTGCAATGAGATAAAATCACAACAGAAATATTAAAAAACAAGTCAAATTTGACCTGAATACAACAGGAAGGTTATAAAAAAAACATACTCCCAGCCAGGCCATGCTGGGAGTACATTATGGAGGAAAATTGAGGGTTATTAGCCATCAAGGTTCATTTCCACCCAGGCCCCTTGGCTCGGACCAGCCAGGGGTCTAATTTCATACCTGGTAGACGGCTCTAAGATAACAGGCTATTGGGTTTCACCACACAGTAGGGTAACTCTAGAGCACGGAGAGGGTAGGATCATGTAGAGCATTTTGTTTCACACACACATTCTGAGAATAACTCAAATTGTGCGTGTGAGAGAGGCCTGCCTTGGTTTCCCCCTAATGCCTTTTCAAGAGCAGTATTTGTTCAACATCGCAGTACAACAGTGAGTTGTTTGTGGAGTTTTTGTTGGCATACTCCTCACCTCTTCAGTATAGATCCCTTATTTCATATCAAATGACATAACCTTCAGTTAGCCTGCATCAAATAACAATGACCGATTCAGATAGAAAATAATAATCTGGAATGCAGTTTTGTTTACATACAGTTGTATCTGTTTGAGCCCTTCATCAAATAAAGTGATCAAATAGTTGAGGGGAGTTAACATAAAATAGGTGGGAAAAGATTGTTTAATAAACACTTGAATGCAACTATCTCCATACACTACTAACACGTTATAGTTACTTCCAAGGTAACACATTTAAAAAAAACAAAAAACAGTCTACAGTATGTATATGTAATTTCAGTCATTACTTCACAACAATCGATCAATTATTATCCTCTTTAAAAAAGGGGCTTAAATCACTGAATTTATGAGCCACCAAGTCTGAAATCCTCCAATTATTTTACTGATATGTTTCTTTTATAACCCTCATGTTAAACTGCACAATAAAGTAGGGTTCTAGTTTTATTTACTGCTATAAATACTGTTAAGACTTTGCTCCTAATCGGATTTGTCAGTGATATTAGACACGGAAGGCTAATTTTAGCCAGCAAGTCAAAACGTTAGTTAGCTAACATTAGGTTAACTGCTAATTAGCTTAACACAAATATGATCGGTAATAGTGTACTTCGACAAAATAAGGGACATTTAAATCACTGTTTTGATAAATGTCTCCTCTCAAAGAGTGAAAAGGAAAGACATAGCTATTAATTATCCCACGTAAATAAGTTATAAATTACGTTTTAGTTGGCTAACAAGTGCACAAACTAGCCAAAAAAAAGTTGGCTCAGTGTCAGTTTAAAACGTAAGCAGTTTAAAACGTTAGTTGAAACTGTTTGAAATTGACAGGCATTTAAAGTAGCTGATATCACGTCTTTAATATTTTAAATGGCACTCTAATTCAGTGTTATGATAATAAAGTGTCGTTGTATTAAAATAAAACAACGTTAGCAAATAACACAGTTTACTGCAGAAGTTAGTCTCCGAAGTTAGGTGTGTGTTTTCGGGACGTTTCCACAGTTTAACTGAACACACGGAGGTGCTTCGTTGTTTACCTGGACTCTGGACTCCGGCAGGTTGATCTTCAGGGCGACCTCCTCCCGCATGAAGATGTCCGGGTACCGGGTCTTCCCGAACAGAGACTCCAGGATGTCGAGCTGAGTGCGGGTGAAGGTGGTCCGCTCCCTGCGCTGCTTCCTGGGAGTCGCTGCAGAACAAACACGCACCGGAGAAACGTAAATAGGCTACAACGACCTCTCACAGAGAACATTTTTCTTCACAATTAAAAATTAAAAATGTTATTTAGATCACTAACTTGACATGTATTAGCCTATAACGTATTTTGTCTTCTTTACTGGTGTATTGTAGGTATTGTTTTGACTTGTAGGCTTTCTGTTTGTTGGGCCTAACTGCCCCGGAACAACGGATGTAAATTAGCATGTTGCTAACATCACGCTGTCCCTATGAGATATTTAACTAAAACAAAGTCAGGCCTTTTACTGTGGAGAAATAAAGATAATTTACCTATCTTTATTTTTCAATTGATAAAGAGAATCAGTATTTAACTAAATGCCTATACAAAGGATACAAAAACAGTCACTTATAATTTGCTTTATAATGCTAAAATCAAGCTAGTTTTACTTAAACTGGTCAAATAAGTTTGGTTTGAACTCAAATTGTCTTATGCAATATTATTATTATTTTGACCACCATTCAAAAACACCTGTATTGCCTTAAAAATAAAGTAAATACGTTCTAAATAATGTTTTCTTCATGATACAGGAGTCAGTGCTTTCATAAAATATATGGAAATGTTTTCTTTATGATCAGCTACACTGCCTGCATTTTAAATTGTAGTGAATGTTCTTCATGATTTCTGCAGCCAAACAGGGTACATGCATGTTAAATACTCCGGATTTTTTTCCTTCATGACGGCTGGTGCATTCATCTTAAAAAGTGTGTGTTAGTGTGTGAGTGTGTGTGTCTCTCCTACATGGGTAGCCCACGGAGGGGTGCAGCAGGTCCATGGCGCCGCTGAGCCCCAGGCCGTTGACGCCGTAGGGGGGCTGTTTGAGGTAGGACATCATGTTACAGGCGGTCACTGCTCCACCCAGCTCCGGCCAGTGGTTCGGTTTCCCCCGATGCTGCAGCTTGACGGGGCAGGGGACCGATCCAAGAAACTGCACACAGGAGGTAATGTCATTTAGTGCCGATAAAAGTATCTCAATCTAATCCAAAATGCACAGGAAATATTAAGGAAGAACATCATAAACGAACGCCTTTGTTGCGTATTGTTATTATGCTGCAGCTTGACGGGACAGGGGGCCGATCCAAGCAACTGCACACAAGAGGTAATGTCATTTAGTGACGAGAAAGGTAGCTCAATTTCATCCAAAATGCACAGGAAATATGAAGGAAAAGCTCTTTCTTTTCATCATAAACTAACGCCTTTGTTGCGTATTGTTATTATGCTGCAGCTTGACGGGACAGGGGGCCGATCTCACTTATTGGCTTTTCCACACAGTTACTTACAGGGGGAATACATAGCCTGCAGAGTGCACATGCAGGTGCTGCAGTATTTTTTTATTTTGAGGAAAAAAGACCAATTGTATCCAAAATGCACAGGAAATATTAAGGAGATACTTTATAGGCTACTTTTGTTGCGTATTTTTATCACTCAGCGGATGAAGCTTCACTCCATTTTAAAACCTAACATTAAGAATTAAAAGACGCATCATTATAATACTTCCTAATGTTCCTTTAGTTGTTATTTAGTTGCAGTGGGATGTAAGCATGAATTATTGGAGGATAAACTGATCATTTAGCAGCTCTTTAAATCCCTTCAGGAATATTGGATTTGTGTTGGGGGATAACCGGGGTCAAACGGCTCCGATACTGAGACTCCAGCGGAGGGAAATAAAACACAACATCTGAGGTTTTATTAACCAAACAACAATATATAAGCTTTACAGACTTTTTAACTTTTACTGGACGCGTTGAATGATTTGATAAAAATGGAATGAAACCAGATGCATTGTTATTTCCAACAATGATCCTAAAAGTCTGACAATAATCGTTGCGTTTCTAAAAATACTTTCTTTAAATGTGTGTTTATTTGTCCAAGTTATTTCCATATTTTAATGGCCCCACGACCTACCTGCAGATTATTGTTTGTGCATTTTATTATAAATGTTTTGTTTTTTTTATAAAATGGGACTTTCTATAGCCTTCTCTTCTCAAATAGTACTTATTTATTCAAACACAAATAACTGTTTTAATTTGTAAAGATAGGCTACGTTTAAAAAAACAAAAACCGCTATGTTCAAATGATGTTGATGGTAAAATAAAGCCTTTCCTAAAAACTCGTAGCGTCCTGAGTGAAATGTGTGTGTGAGTGTGAAGGCCTGCACTTACACACACACACGCATATAAAAGATGGATTATGGATGCTGTTTGATAATCTATAAAATCACAGCTAAAGTGTTTTTGTACTCAGTGATTCTGTTTGTATACTTTGTGAACATTTCGACCTAAAAGAGACTCCTGTGGATCCCCAGAGCTCGGCTGAAATGATCTGCATTAACAGGAAATAAATCCACAAAATAAAACTCAATTTATATTATTTACTTTCAAGAGGAAGATCTGATTTGTCCTTTCTAATAGTTTCTACAATAAATTGACTTTATATATTTGAACGCTCAGGTAAAGGAACAAAACCTAATTGAAAAAAAGTCAAATTATTTCTTTACTTCTTGTTTTTCATCAGAGTAAAATACCAATTGTTATATCATATAATTCCGTAAAGCACAACTATTTGTATCCTTTCCGTGGTTGTGTTACACTGCAGGCTGTTTGATTATAGTCTAAAGGCTTTTTGGTGATTTGTTTCTCAGTGAATTAAGATTTAGGGAATACAACACATCCCAACCGGCTGCAGAAAACAAACATGTTTATCTTTCTGCACTAAATCATTTAACATTACATTTACATCCAGGAAACACTGATAACCCTTGTTAAGCGTGACATCTATTATTTAAAAGCTGATCTTAAAGTTAGATTTGTACCTCCTAAGTGAAGAATTTTCTACCCCAAAAATACGCCCTGAAGTTTAAATCGTGTCAATTAAATTAGTGAGATATTCTAACAATGAGTTCCTGACTGACTGACCGTGTATTGCAGAGGCTTTTTAACCGTATTTGAGCCCTGGCAGGCCGGGGAGAGAAAGGCGAGATCTCGGTGCAAATGAACTCAATTAGAATTTAGATTAGACCTCCGGGGAGAAGCGTTTCAGAAGGGCTCTTATCAGCAAAATAAATTAACAAAAACCAAAACACGCCTCTCCAATTATCTACTAAGTGCTTCAAACGCTTTAATGGCCAATTGCTCTCCAATAAAAGTGAACTGGAATAGAAATATGAAAATTATCTACTCCGGAGGAAGTTGACTCAATTGATCCAGTTCAGGTCGGAGTGCTCCCCGGTGCAGACTGATTGATATCTCGGCTAAATAAATACAATAATCACATAAAACGTGAGCCGGTGCAAATTGAAACAATTCACCTCACATGTCACACTTTAAATCTCCTAAATGTTTCAAAAAGTGACTTTTGTGTGTGTCGCTTTAACACTTCAGCTGCTTCTGTTTCTGACGCAGAGTTGTGTTGTTTGGAGTTTAGGCTAAATGCGTAAAAACTGCAGATAATGCGCATTTAATGAGTGAAAAGTGAACAAACGTTACCTTGTTTTTCTCCTCTTCCCTTCTCCCGAGCTCCCGGGCCACCAGACGCGAGCAGCAGTAAAATTATCCAGCAGGAGGAAGTCTGACGAACTCAAACAGTCTCGCTGAAAAACAAACAACAGCGCGCGGAACCGGGCAGCATCACGCAGAAAAACACGCAGAAATATCAGCACGCGTTTCCGGGTGTTTTTGCAGCCAAATAAATCAGACTCATTTGCTTTCAGGGGGCTTGTCGCTGTCTGTCAGAGTGTTAGGTGATTTTCTTGTTTCTAATGGAGACGAAATTGAGATTGATCACCTTCTCTCCGCCCCGCGCCTCTATGAGCGGAGGACACCTGCGGATCCGCCTCCCTCAGCCAATCAGCGAGCAGCTTCTGGGTGACGGACAGCTTGGGCAGCCAATCAGCGCAGAGGCCACCGCGGGAGGCCCCTCCCACTTTCCCCGCCTCCGTGTCCGGGTCCCAAGACCAGAGCAGAGGTTTGTGAAAAGATGGAAATGTTTCTGAGGCCTGCAGGAGAAACACAGAGAGCTGCTGACGAGAAGGAGATTTATACAGATTTGTTATTGATTTAACAGTTTACTTAAAAGAGCAACTGAAAGCACTTAAAAAACGAATTCCGCGGACCTTTCCTCCATTTAAAACCCGTTTCTTCTAAATAACCTGCATGGTGTTGGTGTCTCTTTGAATTGCACCATGCCTAAAGTGGCGTGTCTTTTTCACAAAAACAAAACACTCTGTATTTAGATTAAATCAAAAATGTAAACTATAGCCTACGATTATTTCAAGATAATGAAAATCACCTTTTCATTATGTGGAGGCTTAAAATGTTTGAGAGGTTATTTAGTTTGTCAGAAAGCTGTCTTTTAGTTTATAAACATGCACTAACATTTCCTGAAAGGCCGGGAAGCCTAAGCAGCTTTATAATAAAGCTTTTATTATTTTGTACCGTTAATTCCTCTGTGATGATATTTCGTCGCTCCAAAATGTGAGAAATTAAGGAAAAAAGAAGGATAGAAGTTACATTTATCCATTTTGATTTTATTGTGAGGACTCCCCCTCCTCTCTCTCTCTCTCTCTCTCTCTCTCTCTCTCTCTCTTCTCTCTCTCTCTCTCTCTTCTCTCTCCTCTCTCTCTCTCCTTCCCTTCTCTTCTTCTCCACCCACACAGCAGAGCTCATGAATATTAATGAGGTCTAATCCCATTTAGAATTACATTTGAGGCTGGTTAGGGTCGTACAGTTTAATAGGGATAGACCTCCAAACTCACTGCGGAGTGAAAAGAAAAATTCCGCAGAAGAAGAAAACACTTGCGGGTCACTGAATCACCCCCTGCACTTTACATGGAGTTTTTTTTTTTTAATGTGATTTACCTCAAAACAAACAGAATGTTCGTCATGCCTTCTGTTTTTGTCAGAGAGGGTCGTCGTGGGGGATGCAGGCTCTTTGTGAATCTCTGCAAAAAAAACTTCTGGAAATGAGGCCTGAGCTGAAAGAGAGCTAATGTTCCAGAGGCGAGAGAAGCTGCAGGCCATGGACATTTTACGTGTGTGTGTGTGATTGTGGTGGTGTGGTGTGCGTGTGTGTGTGGAGGAGTATCAAAGTGGCTTTAAAAGTCATCGATGAGAGCTTTGACAGAGAAACTTAGACATCAGATGTGTGGAGGCCTGTAGGGATGCAAGTGCAGGAAAAGGGAGCCTGAACGCACCAAAACGCATCTTGAATGTAGCCTACATAAAGTCTATCCATGTTTTTACGCACAGATGACGAACCAAAGGTTAAAATCAGACTCATGGGGACAGGGAGTGTGTGGTCAAATGTATGAATGAGGTGATAACAGGAAAGTAAAGAGAGAGAAAATGTGACGTTTTTTGGTGTTAATTGATTTCTGTTTGTGCTGCCTGGCTGCTCCCCGGAGGTCAAACACTTTTTACGCACCTTTTTTATTCCCACATCTGAAGTCCGAGCAGTCAGAGGGCCTGAGAGAACAGCAGCCCCCCCCTTTCCCCCTTCCCCCACACACACACACACACACACACACACACACACACACACACACACACACACACACCACACACACACACACACACACACACACACACACACACACACACACACACACACACACACACACACACACACACACACACACACACACACACACACACACACACACACACACACACACACACAGGCTCCGTTAAATTATGCAAAAAGGCCATTCAACAAATATGGCCCTCACAACAAAAGACTCGGGTTATTCTGACATTTCCCCTACACACATTTCTTGTTTTTTTTTCTCTCGATGTGAGTAAGACCCCGAGATAAACCCCTGAACAAGTATCAAGTTATCACCAACCTTTTGTAATAAGAGTATTTTGTCTAATCCCAAATTGCAGTTGAATTTTCTTAATGCTGAGCTGGTAAAGCCTCGGATTAGGCGGCGAGGAAGAGGAGGGGGAAAAGTTGTGTCCCTTCAGCCGGCAGCAGGATTGGAAGAAACGGGGATCTGCGGGGATGGTGTGTGTCGGTGCTTATTATTAAAACCGTGATGCATAAAAACACAGAGGAGCTCCGGCGCCGCGCGGAGACCCGGATCCCTCAGGTGAGGACCTCTTTTTAGAAAGGCGGCTGGGAAAGGAAGTATAAGCAAAAGGCCGAGCTGAGCACCTGTGAGGTGAAGCCAGGAGACTTCAAAGCTCAGGAGAAAATAATCCATTCAGCTGGAGGATCCTCGGCACAGAGAGAGGATCCGCGCGCTTTTACGCAGCGTCTAAATGCTGAAAAATGGGAAACTGACTGCAAGTGTTTCTACAGATTCTGCTTCAACAGGAACAGTAAAGGCACCAGGGAGATGCTGCGGAGGTAAGACGGATATGCTATTCTTTTTATTCCAGAGAATCCTTGTCAAATGTTAAAATATTGGATTTGTTACCTGAAATGTTTTGTTTTTATTTTGTAATAAATGCACTTTTCATTAAACATGGATTTAAGTGAATTTAATACTGATATTAAGAGGAATACATCTCAAAACTTAAGTCAAATTCAAGAGTTTAAGTGAAGTTTTACGCATGAAGAATTACAAAATTAAATTGCTTTAAAAACAATATAATTTAAATTATTTACGATCGATGTAAAAATAAGGTATAATACATTTTAAATGGTTCCTGCACACACACTCTTACTCTCACACACACTGCACCGTGTAAAACCTCCTTCACCGTGTTGGCTCTTTGCTTTTATTCTGCAGATTACAGACCCCTGTGATAAACGCGTTTATAATACAAAGTAAAACAAAGCGCCTCGGGGGACGTGCGGTGCGTAAAGTGCGCGTACAGTCGGTCCCAAGCAGAGAAGAAACGAATCAGCAAATTAATTTTGGAGGCATTAGAAAGGCCGGGGAGGACGTCCGCTGTCACAACCTATTTCCCTGCTTTCATCCGAGATGTGAGGCTGCCTGCAGGGACCCAGCAGACCTTTTACTGCAGGGACATTTCACATTTTATTTTATTTTGACACCATTTACAATGAAAATGCACGGCAAAAATGTACATTTCATGTGGTAAAATATGATTTTTTTCACATCTAAATGTTAATATTGCTAATTCTTCAGTTTCTATCCCCCCTCTCCATCCTGGATGACCGAGCCTCTCCAGCTCTGCCCCCCGTCTGCAGCGCGCTGAAATCGGCCCGGAGAGAAAGAGCGAGAGGGGGGGGGAGGGGGAATAAAAAAAACATCTGCTCGGTACAAAGTGATTCCTCTAATCTTCCTCGGAGGAACCTGCTCAGCACCGACCTCAAACAAAAACCCAAACGCCAATTTTAATTTATAAACACGCACAGGTCGCAGGGGAATTGAACAGAGCAGAATAATAAGCACGCAGCTCGCGAGGAGGCAGTGAGGGCCACTTCAGTGCGTGCATTTCAATACGTTTTTGGGAAGAAAGAGGACAAATTAGGAGTATAGTCTGGATTATGTGGAGGTAAAAAGGAAAAGTGAGTTTTAGAAGTGTGTGAGCAATTTTACAATAAGAAAACAGTCTTTAAATCCCCCCAAAAGTGTTACAAATATTAACAAAACAATTATCAAACGGTGTCCAAATGCTTGTAACTTTAAAAAACCTGCAGGAATAAATGCACCACACACGTCTGTGGAGTATGAAATCATAAGGACTTTATTATTGAAGACTTGGGTTATGACACTGGAATAAATAAACAGATAACAGTTGGACACGTGCACCAGATGGAGCTCTAAGTGATGCACGTGGAGCATATCTCTCTTCTTCAGAATACAATAAATACAAACCAAAAAAAAGTTGTTGAGCAAAATGCACATGAAACGTGATGGTATCCACTTACAAGCAGCTCACAATGACAAAACGGCAATAAATAATATATATATTTTTTTGTTTATGACTGCATGAATCCAGACGAAACATGTCGGATGCGATTGGTCGGAGCAGTGATGAAAAATATACAACATGATATTTTTTTTCCATTTTTTTTTTTAAAACATGATCTCTCTTTTGGTAAACTGCTTTCAAGCCAAGACAATTAAAAAAAAAAGCAATAGGAAAGTTAATGCATGATTTCTGAAGATATTTTACAAGTAAAAACTCTAAAATGAAATGATAAAAAGATACAGTCAAGTAGCTTGAAAAAGACTGATATTTTTTTTTTCCTTTTTAAAAGTCCAACACGATGAAAACAAAAGATAATTCCCCACGTCAAACCCCGTTGTGCTGTACCTCAAACTGCTCCACATTCGAGGCTGTGCTGCTGCGTCACCACATGCAAATACACAGGGCTCCTCTCACATATATTACAAACAAGTACCTCTCGGTAAAGAAAAGGAGAATTAAAATGAAAAACATGGTGTGTATATATAAGTGGGAGTCAGTATAAAGTTGGTGCAAAGGCATCGCAGTCGCTCTCTGCGGATAACAAAACAACAACCACGTCCAATAACTGATAGAAATATCTAGGAAAGTCACTATCCAATAATATTATTATTCATAATTATAATCATGATACATTTCTTTTATCGGCTACATTTATTGGTTGTGTTTCTTTCTGAAAGGACAATCATTGAAGCACACACTTCTCCTCTTTCTTGGCCATCTTTCCTTTGTTCTGCTCCAGCGTTCTCTCCAGGTGCTCGTCCTCCTCCTCGGCCCTGCGGAGGGCAAAGGTCAAAAGGTCAGATGTGGCGTAGGGGAATCGGGGAGGAGGAGCAGGTGGATGGCACACACACACAAATATAGACACACACAC